GTCGTCGACGACCGCAACTGCCGCCCGCTAATTTCAAACGGCACGGCACGGCACGGTGCAGGGGGTTGGCTAGTACTATTCGCCGTCTGCCCCGGAAAGTTATGTCGCTCTGTTGGATGGTTGACGCTGGCACATGAACTCTCTGGCGGCAGCCACCACGCGTCGTTTGCCCAGCGTTAGTACGCGTCAACGCGAGTTACGAGCGTGCAATGTGCGCAGCGCGCGTGTAACGAACGCTCGCGCCTTCGCCGAGCCGGGAATTAACGCGTGCGACTTCTTTTCGGCGAAAAGCTCGACGATGAGAGAGAGAGAGAGAAAGAGATGGTACGGGGAATTTTTGCGAGAATTTTTCCGCTCGGAGGAACGTGTTCCAAGCAACAACAAAAAAAAAAAAAAAAAAAAAAAAAGAAAAGAAAAGAGATACAGAAAGAATTCTGACGTAAAGTTAAAAATGCCAAACGTTTCGAGAACAATGGCGACGCAAAATCTGCGAACGATAACGAGCTACTTAGCCGAGAGCGAAAAACAAGCAGGTCGGACCACGGTTTCCTCGCGAGCGTTCCGCTCCAGGTGTAGACGACTGGACGAGCAAAGAGTAGGCCGGTGTAAATCAAAGAACGCGGCGACGAGATCAAGTTCGATCCGAGCCAAGTCCAATAACCAAGGTTATTTCGCGAGATCCAAGACTCTGAGTGATCTACTGGTCGTTTTTTCTCTTGGTTTCAAATGAGATCCCGCTTCTGAAGGGAAGTTGCAAAGGTACGAAAACGCGGAGAGAGAGAGAGAGAGAGAGAGAGAGAGAAACGCGCCAATTACAAACTCGGCTCGGACACGGCCATTAAGAGTAAACTCGGTAAACAAACGACTTTCCCTTTTTGTCGTTTCGACGTCCGATCGCGCCGTAAGGATCGTCAATCGGCGCGGTTCGCATACAGGTTCGCGGGATTTCGCGAGAAACACCGAGCGTGCACAGAGCGTGCGCGAGACGACGCGATCGACGATGGACAGATAAAAGATGTAGAGGAAGCGAAGCTGACCTGTTCGGGACGCGATCGGACGTTTTCAAGTGGCATTTTCTCGAAAACGAGGCGTTCTTTCGCGCAAAATCGCCGGGACAACATCCTTCTCCGATGGTGGCGGTGATCCCTCGCGAGATCCTCTTTGGAACGAGTCTGTCTTTCTTTGCCGGGATTCGCCCGTCTTTGATCTCGACGGAGGGAGAATCATTGCGCCGACAAGCAGCACACGTACGTACGTTCGTTCGTTCGTTCGTTCGTTCGTCCCTGTTGCGCACTTGGGCCGGTTCGACCGGATTTTCCAGAGAGAAGAGCCGGCGAATCGGTCGCGTCAAACCGTCGTCGTCAGCCTCTTGTCTCGAGCCTTAAACAGCATCCGAGCAGCCGAGTTGTCTGATTACAAAATTATACCGACGCCGCTCTCCTCTTTACGCGCGGACGCGACTCGACAGAAAGCAGAAAGCGCTTTTTATCGATTCACACCATCCGATGCGACCAGCGACGAGTGACGAATGCTGGTGATCAGGCGTGTTTGATATCGCGGGGAACAAGACGAACCAAACCAAACCATTCATTCATTCATTCATTCATTCATTTGGAAAAGAAAAACCTCCTGACTGAAAAATTCATCTGAGAAATCTAGCAGCATAGAGCTGGTTTGCAAAAGGCTAGTTGGCAAAGTGACGCGATTGCGTGGGAAATATATACGAATCTCGGCGGATCAGAGGTATATTTCGCGATGTCGAATACGACCATAAACAGAGTACGTTTAAACAGCAATAATCGTAAATCTCGATCGTCGGAACGCCCGGCCAATTATAATCACGAATGAATTACAGTAATGAATATAATATTTCAAAATGATTGCCGCGCGCCGGACGTTATCTGAAAATCGTTTCACGCACCGTCGGATCAATCTCGCTCGTTTGCCAATGCGATTTCTTTCCGTTTCCGCATGCAAAATTGATTTCCCGGCGAGCGCGACGTACCTATAAGGCCGCCGCGCCGCCATTAAATCGACCGATTCAACCCGATTGTTATAATATACCGTATTTTAACGCGATTAAGTCTCTGTTCGCGGTTCGGAGCGCCAGTGCTCGATATTCAACCATAATTCCGAGCCGCCGCAGGTGGTAGTTGCGGATCGTTAATTGTTAATTTATCGGCAGAGCGATCCGTGCGTGCGTGCGTGCGTGCGTGCGTGCAACCATTTTGCTCTCTCGATTCAATTTCTCGGCCCAAGATGATCACGGCCAATTAAAGGCGACCGTCTGTATCAGCCAGTCTTTGTATCTCTTTTGGAAAATTGCGAGCCAGTGATCCGGATAAAAATTTGAAATGTACGCTGTGGCGAAAATGTGACTTTGCTATGCTCGTGTTCTTGCTTTGCGACGTGGCAATTGTTGGCAACATTTTGGAAAGAAATCCATGAAAAGCGGCTTTGACGAGCTAACTCTTATCGACAGATACAGGGTAATTACTAATCGTCTTACAGACGATTGCAATGCATTGTAAATATTACCAATCGGCGAGCGATTCGAAATGAAACAAAGAAAATAAATGTCGCGTTCCTCGACAGGATCCTTCCCGTCCAGGTGCCGTCCACGTACGCGGATATAGGGCAACGATCGTTTTCTCGAGTTTTCATAGTTATCTGTCGACGTGTCGCACGTTACGCACACGCGTAAGGTGTGAGAAAGCGCGATCGAACGGCAGCGCAGCTGGGAAACCGGAATACAATCGCCGCGCGCTTGTTTCTCGCGGCTCGCGCTCGCGCCTTTTAATAACGCGCGACGATAAATGCCCGTGACAACGAGATACTAAGCACACGGTTGCGATTACCGCTGGAAAAACGCGAGACAATGCCACCGTTGCCGATTGAATCGTGCACTCTGGCCGATTTTCCGCGGAAAATGGCGAGCAAAGAGTCGAGCGGAGATCCCGCAACAGCGTGAATTTTCATCTTGTTATTTATTCGGAACAGATTTACCGATTTATCGATCGTTGCGCGACGTAGCAGCGGACAATTTTTTGCGCAACGCAGCGCTCAATTTGTCACTCTTTTACTCGAAATTAATATTATACAGCGTGGTCCTTTTTACATTCCTTTTTTTTTTTTTTCCTTTTTTTGGCAGAGACAATTTTAGACAACAGTTATACACGTTTCCCTGTTTTTGCGAAATTGTTACCCATAAAGTTCCCGGCGCTAATTACAGCTTTAACGAAACCGTATATTAACCATCGTTCGTTCGCTCTGCCGTGCAATTTTGCAAGACGTAGTTTGCAAAAACGAGCGCAACGTTAATTAACGATTCGTTTCGACGGAATAATTTCCCTTGACCGACGACGATAAAGACGAAATGCAAGCGTTCCATTACACGCCGAATTGGAAACCGATTAAATTTATTACACTCTCCGTGGTTCATTCAGTCGTTTCCGCGTAAAGAATCCTTTCGACGAATTTCGATTTCCTTTAGACTTTGAATTAGGCTTGGCCAATTTGTTTCTTTGATCCAACTGCGAGTTGAATACTTTTCGCTCCTTCAAACGACTCGCCAATGTTTATCTCACCATCTCGTGAGTATATTCATTTATTATCGCGAATTTGTTACGCCACGATCTCTCGTCTCACCTTTGTCACTTACTACGAACGAGTTTTTTTTTCTTTCACGTGACGAACATCTACGAATATAAAGAGCTCGATTGTCAAAGATCGATCGGTCAAGAGCGCAACCTGCGTACGGAATCCAGAGTCGACTCGGCTTCAACTTTTGTCGAAGAGATAGGTAATAACGTGTGGTGTATGGTTCCTCGAATCGCGCGGAGGTCGCGCGCAAGAGGCAAAAGGGCAAGCAAGCAAGCGGCGGGGCACTGTCGAGGTAATAACAATTTATTTGCAATTCTCGGAGTTGTCCGCGCGGCGCAAACGAGACGAGAAAGAGAGAGAGAGAGAGAGAGAGAGAGAGAGAGAGAGAGGAGGAGAAAGAGAGAAAGACAGACAGACAGAGGAGAGAACCGCGGCTCGCGCGTGTGTCGCAATGTCCCTTAACGGCTGACGGCTGTTGGAGAACCGGTCGACCTCGATACACCTCGACTTGCCTCTCCGCCACGTAGTACACCGGCTAATATATACGTATTCCCCGACGCACCAGCGCCATGTCCGGTTTCAACGTACACGTACGATTGCGATTATTTCTACCGCTGGCAGGTTTGTGTAATACGCGCGTAATTAGATTCTTGCCAGTGTCGTTTCTTTTTCCCTCCCCCCGATCGCTTTCGGCGATCGAATCGAGGCTGCTGTTTCTTCAGCCTGTTTTATCAGCAGTTGCTCTGCTGCCACGGCAACGCGGCAAACCGCGAACTTCCAAGTTCTGTCGCTCTCCGAACTTTGTTATTGATATGATTTTATATCAACAGTCCCACGTCGTTTTTCAAATTCTTCCTCAAATTCATCCTGCCGATTAACACGATTGCTACGTTGCTTCAAAATTCGTTGCTCCCGATTCAATGCAACTTTCAATCGTGTAACAATTTATGCACAGCAGCGGCGAGTTTGGTAAACGTTCGTATGGCGAGAAACTGATCGTTCGTCACCCGTTTCTTTTTTTTTTTTTTTTTTTTTTTTTTTTTGTCGTAAGTGCATAAAAATCTACAGTTCAGAAATAACGCAACTTTTATAGCATATCTGAGTTTCAATATCTGGCAACGAAATCTATTTTAAACTAGTGGATAACTCCTTTTACAATATTTTAGATTTTTTAAAAATTGAAATTTCAAAAATCATATACATATATATATACATCAAAAGTATTCCAACGTTTTACTCGGTAATTGCTCGACTTGAAAAGAAATTCGCGAACTTTATCTAATGTTCTCCTCAAACTCGCAAACTTATACAGTTTCTTCTCACTGAAGGTAAAGACCGAATGCTTAAATAGTGATCGCGAGTGTGCAACCAGCGACTAAAAAAAATTACACTTGTTGCTCAAGGTGAGGCAGATGTTCGACGAAAGACGGCAAACAACGGTGAAAGGCATCGACAGAAGTTATCCGCTGGAGCCGTTGGAGAACAAACCGCGGAAACAGGCGAACGGAAACAGCGTGCAGAAGAACGGAAATTTGATGGTGAACCGACAGTCCGTGACTGTGAGGCGGGTAGCCCGGGCTGACGTGAACAGCAATTTGAACGGTGGCAAACCGGTCGTCTCGTATCACGAGGAAATCACTCGAGAATCGTTCGGCCCGTCTGCACGCCAGCATCAAGGAGACGACGAGTTTGGAAACGAGAACCACGTCGGGCGATATACGAACGGCAACCATCGAGACGGGGTAACACGCCATTTTCCAAGCGACGGAATTTTTACTGTCGGAATAGGATTGTTTACCGCGTTCGCCACGTGCATGCGTCTCGAACTCGGATTCAGAGTTGCCGCCGATATTTTTATCGCGCGTGGAATAGCGAATATCGAAAGTTCGGAATATCGCGAGATTTTAAAAGATAGCGAAATTATTTTTCTCGGCTTTGACGGAATAGTGAAACTCAAAGGAGGTTAAAACTGGCATCTGGAGTTTAAAGAAAAATTGTTAAGTAACGTATATCTTTGATGAATATTTCTAAAATATATTTCGACGATTTTAATAAAAAAATAATCATCGCTCTTTCAATATTATCGTTTAAGAAATTTATTTATGATTGTTAAATTTATTCCAACGCGGAAGATCGATGTTGGAATTATTTCATTTAAAAATATCTTTATTTATTAGCATTATTGTTAACATTAAATACACGTTCTTCGTCTCATAAGTTTTTACTTGAATAATTTAATCATTTCCAGATACACATTGAGGAAGTTTTGGACGAAGATATAATAGAAAGGAATCGCATGATGGCGAAACTTCACCTGATGGAGTACGACGAATCGCTAAAGCATCGCGTTAAAAACGACCTCGAGAGCGAGGAATTCCCGGAGGACTTTATGGTGGATGTTCCTGACAAGCTTCCAAAACAAAGTGTTACCAAGAAGTTATCTCAAGCGGAGGCCAGGTTGGAGCGTTTTAAAAACGCCAACGTGAAGCGTGGTAGCTACGTTACGAAGAACCCAACTATCGCCCCAAAGAAACGATCTGACCCAATATTTCCAGCAAAATCTACTTCCAGGTACGTAGACGTACAAGCTGAAGCAACATGGGAAATTGTGAATCGTAAAAATCGTAAATTAATTGAAGGTCAAAACCATTAGCGGATTATTAAAATCATTAAGACCCTTTTTATCTCATTTAACATGTTTGGATATAAAGGATATATGTACATACATTGATCTCAATTAAATATAATAGAGTTATTTGATAATAGGTAATAATAGATTTTTATATATATGTGATCTGCACAATTTTTACCAATGTTATGATTAATTTTATCGTATCTATTATTATTCAGATAATGTTACAATATAGATTTGTTAAAGCTGAAAGTGAATTTATAACTATAGCTGAAAATCATACGACTCCACAGTAACATCATCCATTATTAAATACTGAAAATTACCTGATACTATAGTAACTGCTCACTGCTCTTTATAATGTTAAATTTTTTCAATAACATTTACGGTAAAAAATTGTGGAGGCAAAAATAATTATTACGATTTACTATATTATTATAATTCTTTCGTACAGGAAAAAGAAAATTTCTTTGATACCACACATTAAATATTACGTTTCGCAAAGTGGATGTTGAATTTGAAACGAGAACGATGTATCTTTATATTTATTTAAGTGCATCATATTTGCAAAAATAACTTGCTCTAAATAAAATTCATTTGCTCCAACGTTTATATTTACAAATGCATAAATATTTGTAAATTTTAATTTGTATATTTGAACGTACAAACATTGAAAATATCAAAATGGAATTTCTACGGACGACGATACTTTTTTATAATAATTTCGAGAAACTTTCTATTTATCCGGCAGTAAAATTTTTATCATCTTGTTTATCTGGTAGCTACCTGGATGCATGAAAGCGTAATAATATTTTATATCGGGTGGTAAAAATAGATTGAAATTTAGGAGCGATTCTCGAAAGTCGTTCTTAACAATGAAATAAGTACTGTTAATTAGGTAATTGGTGCCTTGCGTTTAATGCACATTTAACATTTTATAAGTACTACGTTTTACTACGTATGAATCTCGAGATAAACTATTAATTTATATAATATTTATATAATAGCAACGTTTCAAAATTAATTACACGTTTACGTACAAAAGACCCGAATTAACCAAACAGAAATTGATTTTCAATTTTACGATTCAGCAACGGTCCACTTGCAACAAATTAAAATACAAGTCTAACTGTAACAAATTTTATAACAAATCTTTCCCCTGTCTACAATATTAAAAAAAAAAAAAAAGAGGAAAGGAAAGAAGAAGGAGAAAGATGAGTAGTCTGTCTTAACGCGCAAGTAGATCATGTTTCCCGATAATCGAATCGAACCTTGACAAATGCGAATTCTCTAGCCGCTAATTGGCAATTAGTGCTAACAATCCGTCGCTGCTTTCGCCCCGCCACCATCCTCTCCGCCGATTAATTTCTCGTTGCATAATTGCGATCGCTGGCTAGGCTCGACTCGTTTAAACCCACGCAACCGTAGTCGCCTAACAATACATGCTCCCTGGAAGTGATCACCCTTGAAAGAACAACTAAATGACGCGTTTCCTGCCGAAGTTAAAGGCGCAGCGTCTCCGGTTTGTCGCAGGAAGGAAGATGCTCCCTCTTTAATTTATATGTCCGCCTTTAACATGAAAGTTGGATCGGAGAAAGGACAAATCGGCCGGAGGACATTGTCACGCTCCGTCATCAGCATAACAGCCAAGCGCAGTGCCATCCGGAGCAACGTTGAATTAAAAAAAGAAAAAAAAATACCAAAGTATCTCGCGAGACAACTAATCGCGATATCGCAGTATGAACGAATTTACGTACGAACAAGTCTTACGTTGGATTTTCTTGAATAAATGCTAGAACAATTGAAATCATCAAGTGATTCTGATGATCTAATTTAACGTCAGAGAAAATATTGTGGAGAAACCGTTTAACTTTATTTTATCAAATGATCCCACCGTGTGAAATTTCACCGACGAGATGATCTACGCAGAAATATTATATTAAATGTTAAGTAGAGGTTATTAAAGTAAATAGTTCACTTTACCAAGTTCAATTTCCAGGCGAGCGAATCGACACGCTTTCTGCGATCTCTGAACATTTTTGCGTATCATCTCCATCTCGGATCGAACGTGTTCCTGCTCCTATTCTGAACTTTGACGTGTTTCTATGTTTCAAAACGAAAGGGACGTCGATGACATTTGACACTGTACGTGGGGCTTTACCTGGGGCTTTCCTGCGTAACCAATATTTCTCTTTAACAAAATAAGATCGATCGGTTGTAAGATCAAACAGTCGAAGATCAGAATGTATCATGCCACTGCCACTCACTCTTACCACCGCCATCTTCTTCGTGTCGGCTAACAGCAATCGCAAAAAGCAGGATTAACAACGCAGATAACGAGCGAGATCGTCATCAGCATTGTAGAGCAAGAAGATAGAGTAACAAAGGCTAAGCGCTAAGGGGGAACAAGGATATCCGAGGCTTGTAAATTTATTAAAAGCAGAGCGTGGAATGTGTTACATTGATTGTGATTTCGTAGTGAGGATCGAGCGACCAAGACCAGGTCGTACGAGGTTTCCGATAGAAGAAAGAAAGGTCCAGCGAGTAACAAGTTGAAAGTGGAGACCCTAATCCCCGAAATCACGGGAGAAACGCTATCGCCGGATTCTGCGAGGTACGTGAGACGAAGAGACGATAATCCACGATTCTTTTGCAAAGAGTCTGAGAAGTCTGCTACCACGTACGCGATTGATTCGAGGACTGCGAAGAAATTATCGCCCGAGTTGTCGAAAGATAGAATGGAAAGAAGCGACATGTCGAAGAGTTTCACAGTCAGTGGGGAATTTGAAAAGTATCCGACAGACTTGAATGCCACGAGGACATCGACGTTCAAATCGCTTGAAGATGGAATGAGAAGAAGGCAGAGTCCCAAATTATTTCCCGAAGAAAAGTTGACCGCGAGTTCTGCGATTGATTTGAAAAATATCAAGAAATTGCCTTCCGTGATCTCGAGAGATGTGAAAGAACGAGGCGAGAGTCCGAAATTTTTCTGCAGAGAGTCTGAGAGATCGGCCACCACTTACGCCGCTGATCCAAAGACTATCAAAAAATTCTCTTCGGAAAAATCAGCCGCGACTCGCGCGATCGATCCGAAATCTGCAGAGCGATTGATCCAAGAAGTTTCGGAAGTCGTGAAGAACGTTAAACGACGAAGCGCGAGCCCAAAATTCTTTTGCAAAGAGTCCGAGAAATCGGCTACTACTTACGCAATTGATCCAAAGACCGCGGACAAATCAACCCGAGTGTCGTTGAGAGACATGAAAGACGTTAAAAGCCGAAGTGAGAGCCCAAAATTTTTTTGCAAGGAATCGAGAAAATCCGCCACGACGTATGCGATCGATCCAATGGCCGCTAAAAAGTTTTCTTCTGGGAGTTTAAGAGATACTAAGGATCGAGCTGATGGTCCAAAATTTTTTTGCAAAGAATCTGAAAAGTCCGCCACCACTTATGCTATAGACTCGAGGAGTCCTTCTGTCTCTCCTGTTTCTACGAAAAACAGAGAACGCTCTGTCTCGAAAATGGAGAAATCAAAAGGCGAAAAAGATACAATAAAGGAATCTATGAACGACAAGATAAAGAGACACATTAAATCTCTCAAACACGATGAAATTAAGAGATCTACTTTTCCGAAATATCTGAAACACAATACGACAGGTTACGCAAAACCGAACTATCCAAAAGGATCTAAATCTACCCTGTCTAAATCGTCCAGCTTTTCAACGAGAGAACGCAGCTCGAGTCCTCATTTTTTTTTTCGTGAAGGCAGAAAGTCGACCAGGAAAAAAAGTATCGACCACAAAGACGCCAAATTCATTTCTACATTCCCAAGTTTCAGCGAGAAAAATATAAAGAAACGTAGTGAAAGTCCAAGGATCGCCTCTGTCAAATCAAAATCGCCAGACTTTACGAAATTATCGTGCAGAAAATCCAGCACAAGTCCACAGTACTTGTCAGACTCTGACAGATCTACCACCTTCATGATGGTGACACCGAAAACGATAACAAAACCGAGAACAGAGTTCGCGTGCTCGAAAAGTCGAGAACAAAGCCCTACGTTGTCCGTTTCCAAATCGAAGAACGCTGTTACGGGTGTGCTGGCAGAACCAAAAAGGAATGATTCGTCGATGGAGAGCTACGACGAAAGTTCGAGACAGTTCATTCGGAGCTCGGTGTCGCGATTTTTCTCGGAGCAGTGCGAGAAAGCGACGGGAAACGCTGCCGATGTAAGAAAGCACGTTCAATCAGCGAAAATCGACAAGAAGGGTTATTCGTCGCGTGGCTCGTCCCCATTGTCGCTGAAAGACATGAGAACACTGAGTCCAACGAAGCCGCAATTTTATCGCGGACGTACCGAGAAAGCTGACAGGAGAACGAACGTCGATACAGACAGCAGTCGTGACTCGTCGCCTAAGTATCGGAAAATCGTGGACAGCGGAGAAGAAACTCCAGAATTCGTCCGTCGCGAAACAGAAAATCCCGCCGCCACTGTCTGCCGTCACGGGACCAGAATTTCCAGAAATGTGATCAAGGGATCATCCGAGGGTCCAAAATCGATTAAGCAAGCAGTTTTGCGTGAAATTGTAACGAAAACGAAAAATCTGTTGAATAACGTGAAAAATAAATCGTCGAGGAGTCCCAACAACTTGACTGCTAGAGACAGCAATTCGACGAGCAAAGACAAGAATATGTTCAATCGTAGAGGATCTAGTAATACGCTACGTTCGACAAAACTGATTCGTGACGCCGCTAAAGGCGATTCAACTACTAAAAACACGAATCCGCTTAATCGCAGGGGATCTAGCAATGTTTTATGTTCGACGAAATTGATTCGTGACGCCTTGAAGCGTCAGAACGGTCGAAATCGAGCAACTCCTGCCACGGAAAAATCGCGGAGTTCCTCTGAGCACGCGAGTGAAATATCGAGCGAATGGGAACAGCGATCGAGAGCCGACAGGGTGCAGGAAGTGACGACAGTGACTAAGAAAGTTGACGAAAGAGCTAGGACGTCGACTGTTGGCGAACTTTCAGCCGCGAGATCGAGTCTGAGAAGTTGCACGTCCGCGCAAATGGACACGGACGTTCGTGAAATCGTTATGCCTGATCAGTGCATAAAACAGGAGAAGCTCCGAGGTACTTACTCGAGATCGAGCAACAAAACAGCCGGTGAGAGGCCGGGCAGCGAAAAGCTGTTCACGTATTCCGTGCGCAAGCCGGTCAAACGGAGAGTATCCTTGCTCGAGTCGAACATATTCGAACGATCAGTAAAAAATTCGAGAGAGGAGAAGCCGATTAGCTCGAGATACAAATCGCCAAATGCGTCTTTGAAGAGGGAGACGGTCGTTGGTAGCACAAAGAGTCAAACAACGAGCGAGAGGAATACTTTGAGATCTGTAGGACGAACAGCAAGTTCGATTCAGACTGGAGAGAAAAATATGACTTCGAGCAAGTCGTGTATGACGCAGTCGATTAATCGCGATCCGAAACGAAGAATCGAGGGAAGTACGAATCGAAGAAGCGAAACTAAAATTTCGAGAGTTGGAGGGCGAACGTCGAGTCTCACATTCGAGATTCAAGAAAAAAAGGGGGAGGTGAATTCGACGGAGAAAGAAACGAGAACATTGTCTGAACAGGTACACATTTTGAAATCGGTCAGTCTCGTTCAAAATGTTACGAAAGAGCCCGATTTTACCGAAAAATCTCGAAAATTGATTGACGAAACGATACCCGATGGCACAGTTGCAGAGAACCAAATTACGAAAAGTGGTGCCATTTTGTCGATGATCGATATCAAAGAACCGGAGCTCATTGTATTTTCTCTACCGTTGTCTAAGAATTACGAGAGAACGGACTCGGTTGAATCGGCATTGAGACGTTTCGATTCTATCGGAATGGAGACTGGATCGATTCGAGGCACTTCGAAACGAAGCGCCGAATCAATAGCAGAAAAAAGACAAACGAAGTCTGGCGAGACCGCTGGTTTCGCGGATGACTCGAGGACAATTTCTCTGGAAGCACTCGATCGACCAGATGTAAATCTATCTTCAACTTCGAGAACATCTACGAACACGGAAGCTGGAAGACAGAGGGTACCGCGAGGAACGTCAGAAAGAAAGAATGCTCAGAAAAAATTGGAGGGAACCAGCGACTCGATGGAGACGACTGGAATTGCCATGAGATCGAGATCGCCTTCGTGCAGGCGAAAGCTTTTCCAGGACGGCGATTCCAACGAGGCGACCGAGACCGGAAGCACCGCGTCGAGAACCGTGAAACATCTCTCTACGCTGTTCAATAAGAACGAAACGCCAGGCTCGACGAACACGGCGTCCAAACGCTTCAAATTCTCCGCTAGCAATGAGACGTTGACTGAGATGATGGACAAAGGGGGAACAGATCAAGCGTCAACAGGTGTAGATCGTTCCGTGAAACAGCTGAGATCGATCGAGGATATTCGTAGGTCCATCGAGGACGAAAGTTCGGATCGTAAAAGGGGGAAAACGTCGGCAAAGTCAGCGATCGTAGGGAACGCGTTGAGAGATTTAAGCGTGGCGAAAGCAACGGCACGATCGGTGCCCCGTCGAATAAATATCGATGATCGCGCTGGAAATAGAAAAGAGATATCTTTGCCGAGACGGTCGGGGAACGTTACCGCGAGCAACGACGCTTTAGGGGATACAGGGCGTTCGTCTGTAAAGTGTACGATGCGTTTCTCCAGGATGGCGAAAAGTCCAAGCCCGGAGACAACTAAGGCGACGGAAACGAGCACCCGTGCGAGAAGAACCGTCCCAGCCCCGCCGTCCACGGTCGCTAGGGTAAGCGAGGATCCACGAAAGATCTCTTCTCTTATTCCTAGAAATAACATTCTTGAAGTTCTTGAAGTTTTGATATAGGAGGAGATAGGTATAAGGTGACGTAATATTTTCTTCAAAAATTCTTAAGAAAAGTGGTAAAAATCATTCCTTATATTTTATTAAAAATCGTTTCTATACCAGCAGACCATTCCACAATTAAGAATACGTTTAGCTTCCTCACAATATAATATAGAGAGAAACGTGTCGATAGTTTAGCCCGGGAGTTTCAAACAAACACGTTTCTATTATAGCGTCCGTCGACCGAGTTGAAAGCTCAAGACATAAAGTCGACGAAACGGTCAACGCCTATGAAAAGCACCGAGCCAATTGGAAACAGGAAAATGACGACGACAAGCACGACTACGAAAAAGTCGACGGATGTCGTCGATGACGCTATTCTCGAGAACGGTCTGCATTTAAGAGATCAAACTTCCGAAACAAAATACGATAACGACTCGCTTACAACGAAGAAAAACGATGCTTTTGTCAACGACTTCGACGAGCAACCGCCGAAGGAAAACGATGCACCACTTCCACGGAAGTCACTCTTACGAAAACAATCCACCGAGGTAAGTACCTGTTAATCAGATAAATAAGAAACAGATAAACAAAGTGTTGATAATTCTGGAGCAACCCTTTCACAATAGTATAAAGAAGATTGAAGCAAATTACCAAATATGATAGCATAAATTCTACATTTTAAAATATTGCTGTTCTCTTCATTTTTACCTTCATATTTATATCCTTTCAGATATGTATCTTATTTTCAGATTTTGAAATACTTTATTTATGAAAAGTATGGTATAAAGATAATCTATCTATGAATGATTCATTCTTCGTCACAAGAACGATAATTTCTAATCGTACGAAATGTTTCCGCGACGACTTGAAGTTAGATATATAAAAAATAAGTAGAAAGTTTATATAGTAAAATGTCTATTGCTCTTTGACGTTATTTAACCTGGTAAATCCAGTGACTTTTTATTGCATATGGATTCCTCACTCTCTAATAATTAATCGGAACACTTGCAAGCGAAATTTTTTAGTCTTGTTAAATTTTGATAACAAAATTAAACAGTAATAACGACAGGTATTTTATACGATTTATACTATTAAACAAGTTTGTTAATATTAATGTTATCGAATAATCATTGAATTTCAATTTGCTGAAAGAGTAAGACGTATAAAAAATCATCAATTTTATAATACTTAAGGACAATTGAAAAATATGTCGTCCTTTTAACAAATATATTCAACTGAAAATAATTGTTATATAAAGTTAATATTAATTAGAAACAGATTACTTCCGCGCAATCAGCTCGACCTCCATCGTCAGTTTCGTCCATCTCTAGCGGTAGTTCCATGCAGGGTCAGACTTCCGGTTTGAAAAGCAAAATGGCTTTTAGAGCAAAGACACCAATTTCTGGTTCAACATCGTACAAAGGATCAGCTTCTAGCAAAACCGGATCAGCTGCAGCAACGTAAGAATTTTTAGAGTAATTGATTTTCCTGTTGTGAAATTGAATATTATCTATCTATCTATCTATCTTCTTTCAAAAAACCTTTTTCAAAAAATGTTACAGCGACGCTCTGGTCCCTTGCAAAATGTGTGGTCGCCGCTTCGCTCAAGATCGAATAACTCTTCACGAGCAAATTTGCACAAAAACGATGCAAAAAAAGAGGAAACAATTCGATACGGTGATGTATCGCGTAAAAGGCACCGATCTTGAGCCATTTGTCAAAAAAGGACTTGCCAAAAAGCAACTGGAGGTCAGTACTTTTTATTCCAATCCCAAATCATTATCCTTCGTCTTTTCCCAATTCCTAAAAAAATTCCGTTCCCATTCGTCATAGCGGCCAAATTCATGTTCAAACTGTGAAGGCTTAATTTAACGTAGTATACAATATCTATATAAAAAAATAACATATAAAAAGAGCATAACACAGTAATTAATTTTTTATGATTTTATGATAGACCTATTAAAGAATATTAATTACAATTCAGTAGAAGAAGAATATTAATTACGATACAATGCAATGCGATTAGCTATTAACGTCAAATTTTTTATCGATAAATGTCACAAACAAAGAATTCTATAAAAAAAAAAAAAGATTTATGATACTTGAGAGGTAAAGGTCATTTATGTCGTAGAAAAATGAAATATCGCTTTAGAGAAAGCAATAGGATATCGATCGTTCTGAAGGAATGGAACGGTTATCGCTTTGCATGTTTCAGAAATCGAAGAAACCAGAGGTGAAGTCGAACTGGCGGCGCAAACACGAGGATTTCATTAACGCCATACGCTCGGCCAAGCAAGTGCAAGCACACCTGGCCGCAGGAGGCAAGCTCAGCGATTTACCACCGCCACCGGTTAGCGATAACTGCGATTACATTCAGTGTCCCCATTGCGGAAGAAAATTCAATAAGGCCGCCGCCGAGCGTCACATTCCCAAATGCGAGCACATGTTGCATAATAAGCCAATACACTTGCGTGCGCCGAAACCGAAGCGTTAATTCTCCCAGAATCATGTCTCCTAAAGCGATTCTTTTATATACACCGAACAAGAACAAGATAGATAAAAGTGCCTTTATTTTCGGGAAAATGAATTTCAAATAAAATCTTTCAAATGAATTTGAAGAAGAAAAGGAAATTGAAGCGTGAGGTGTGACATTATATAAAAATAAACTACAGAACTAATTGTGATAGTTTTAATAGAGCACAGCTTTTATAAAAATATCTTGCCTCTATTTTGTTCATGATCGAGCATGACGTTGATTACGAATTCTTGAAGAATTTTGTATGGAAGCTTATACATACATAAATGAAAAAATGGACCATCGAAAACATAGAGTACACGAAGCATTTGTAAAATTTGTCGATTTCTTGCGTGTATTTTGGACAAATGTATTTTTTAATCACACTGAAATAAAGTACGAATTTTCTCTACACGCTGTATATATGTACGTAGCGAAACGAACTTAAATATTTTATCATTATTGTTTGAAAAAATATGCAGGCAAAAAGATTTGCAAAAATAATAATATATATATTATACTATTATTTTCTCTTTTTATTTTATGAATTAAGAAGTGATGGAATTTATAAAATGTAAAAAACGAATATACGACATCCCATTGTGAAAATTTACAATACTTCGGAACGCTTACTTGACACGTATTTGTATGTTTTTATATTATAATGATATCGAAAGAATATGTTACATATATGACTATTTATGGCATTATAATTGATCCTCCTAAATTGCTTTCACATAATAACAGTATACAATTAGCTAAAGATTGGAATTAGCGAAAGATGAATTAATTACTAGTAAACATCGTTTTGATTAATATTAAAGATATTGTGATTTATTTTATAAGTTTTTATCAAAATAGATTGACATGGAAACATTTTTATAGCGCTTAATTTTCTTAATAAACGAAATTATTGTAATATTATTGTTATGATGAACTGTATGGGAGCTAATAAACTAACTTTTTAGTAAAAAAAAAAACAATGACAAGATATTATCCAGCTATATTTAATATTGTTCATCTCATTAAAATACTGTGAAACATTCTAAATAAGATTGTTGAATTTGATACCAAAAAGTTATAATGAACTAGGAAATATTATACCCGGAATGTTGGTAATGAAAGTGCATGCGTGATATCGTCGAGATTTATCACAGCAGACGACGTGGTATTCCCGGTGGATACGAGAAACATTTAAAAAATCGTCTGTGTTCGTCAGGTTTTGTGTCATGATTAAAACGCGAAGTTTTATAATGTTCCTGAGCCCGTTTCACGCATAAAGGAAAATAATGGATCATTTAATTATCTTGGTGGCTACATTACATTTATTGTACTGTCCATTCACAAAAGTGGAAGAAAGTTTCAACCTGCAGGCTATGCACGACATTTTATACCATGGTTTTAACCTATCGGAGGTAATTATTATAGTATCTGTCGGAAGAATTAAATAAGTAGAAATTAGAAAGAAGATATTTATCTTTCTTACTGACAGGTTGCTGACGTGTAACGAAAGAGATATTACGCAAAAACTTAGACATTATATTTAGAAGCAGATGCATATATTTATAAACTTACGATCAGCTGATATAGTTTTTAAAGAATTTACTAATGTATTAATTTAAAGCTTCATTAAAACAAATATGTTAAAATAATTATATATAACGAAATCATATATAATGATTACTAACATAATATAATAATTCAGTTGAGAATGCAATCTAATGGTTCAGAGCACTTGTGTAAAAGAACATGTATATTAATGCATTAAGAAAGAAAATAAAAACGAATAACTAATCATATGTGATATATTTTTGTTCTGTAACAGTATGATCATCATGAATTTCCTGGAGTTGTGCCACGATCATTCGTGGGACCAATTGTAATATCAGGCTTGGCATCTCCAGTAATAGCAATTATTAATTATCTGCAACTTAATAAATTTTGTGCTCAATATGTTGGTAAGTTGATCAATAAGTGTTTTTGATTTATTATTAGAATTACATTTTTAATTTATAAAACTTATAAAAAAAAATTGTTATGTTTTTCCAGTAAGAGCAACATTAGGCTTGTTAATAATAGGCACACTGAAACTATACAAAGATGCTTTACAAAGCATATTTGGTTTGCAATTTACAAAATGGTTAGTTGCAATTACTGTAACTCAATATCATTTTATGTATTATCTAAGTCGTCCATTGCCAAACATAATGACTATGCCACTAGGTAATTTAAATTCAATATTATGTCTTTTATTTAATGATTTATGTGAGGATTACTAGTTGTATGTTGTCTGTATTTGTAGTACTACTGGCTTTATATGGATGGTTGAAACAAAGTCACACGATGTTTATTTGGTCATCTGCAGCAGCAATAATAATATTCAGAGCAGAACTTGCCATGCTACTGGGATTATTTCTTTTGTACGATATAGCCAACAAGAAATTAACCATACTAAGGTATTTACATATTATATTGCGGACCATTGATTCCTAGTATGGCTATAACATTGCATACAGAAGTGATTAGAATCTTCGAGGAACCTTCTGCAAAACTGCACTGATTTGTAAGCTTTGTTTGCTTATAAAACTTATTAACATAACGAAACCCTTCTGTCAAAAATAACTAAATCAAACATAAATCCTTTATTTGATAAACTGCAATATGACTTGTGCTATAGTTAAAAGTAGATAAGAAAAGTAATTAAAAATAATTTTATAACATAGAAAACATTCATATATTAAAGCTATTCGGATACACTGTCAAAGTAATAATTTCATAAGACTAATAATTTTTTAGACTGTTTAAAATTGCGGTTCCGGCCGGTATACTTTTTCTAATGCTAACGGTCACGATAGATTCTATATTTTGGAGACGATTATTATGGCCAGAAGGAGAAGTATTTTACTTTAACACTATCCTTAATAAGAGCAGTGAATGGGGTGTATCCTTTATCAAGACGATTATTTTTAAATTTATTTAATATGATTTTAAAATATATATATTGGACCTAACATAAAAATAGACATCACCATTCCTATGGTATTTTTATTCGGCTCTACCACGTGGATTAGGGTTATCTTACTTTTTAATACCTTTGGGTATGTTATGGGATGCCCGAGTTCGGGCATTAACAGTTCCTGGTATTGCATTTGTTGCATTATTCTCATTTTTACCACACAAAGAATTGAGGTTTATCATATATGTTTTTCCACTACTAAATGTTAGTGCTGCAGCTGTTTGCCATAGGATGTAAGTAATTTATACATAGTTTTGCTTCTGAAGCTATTCTTAATTTTCAATTGTAATTATACATTTCTTTTTTTCCTTAAATCAGATGGGAAAACAGAGCAAAAAGTCCATGGAATGGATTTTTGGCACTGATCATTTTAGGCCATCTAGTTTTAAATACTCTATTTTCTATGTTTCTTTTATGTGTTGCTGGTTCTAACTATCCTGGTGGTTTAGCCATTGCTAAATTACACAGACTTGAAAAAGATTCTATCAGTTCAGTGCATGTACATATTGATATTCTAACTGCACAAACGGGAGTTTCAAGATTTACACAAACAAATAGTACATGGATGTAAGTTTTATAAATAACTGTCTGAAGTAAATGATTACTCTATCTAAAATGATAATATAATAAAAGTTTTTATTATATTAAAAGTTAGATACAGATAGTATAATCTAATTTATCGTTAACTAACTTCCAGTTACTCCAAACAAGAAAATTTGACTATTGATAATCCTGAAATGCTTCAATTTACACATCTTTTAATGGAAGCCAAAAGCAAATATTCGCCCAATATAAAACCATATCTTAGGACACATGATATTTTGGATTCTGTAGATGGGTTTTCTCATATAGCATTAAATTATAATATGTTACCACCAATAAGAATAAAGACTAGGCCAATTATATTTATCATGAAAAGAAAGCCTAATATACGATATGATCCCAAGAAAGCAACACTGCAGATCTTGTTGAAACAGTCAAATGAAAATGCTACTGAAAAAAATACAGAAAACAAGGACATCATAAATGATACTGTAAAAAATGTGGAGCCAATATTGGATGAAATAATGGAGTCATTAGAACAATTTGAAAAGCCATTAAATGTATTAAATGCAAATATATTAGATACAGAAATATCAAAAGAAGCTGAATTAGATATAGAAATGCCACAAGAAGATGAATTGGATAATGAAACAATCGATCCTACCGAACTCTTTGAATCATTAAATACGGAACAAATATCTAACAATTTATCTGAAAATAATTTGCCAGATTTAGACACATCAATTAACAAAGAAAACCTACAAACCATACCAAAGCTACAAAATGATATGTTTGAAAGCAATATTAAATTACAATCTGATATTGAAAATGATTCCAGTATTAATGAACAAAAAGTGGACATAAAGGAAGAAAAAAATGAAGAAACAGAAATAATTAACGAAAGATTAAAACTTGATAATATTCAGCAAGATGGTAATAGCCATATAAAAGAAGTTGTTAAAAAAATTATTCAAGAAAAATTAGAGGCAGTTAAATTAAGAAAAGATACAGCAGATGAAAAAACATTACCAGAAATACCGCAGAAAATTAAAATGAAAAAAATAGTTCCAATAAAAATAGAGTCATCGCAAAAAATTAAAATTATAACAAAACAAGATTTAAAAGAAAAATATTCAATTACCCAAGAGTTAAAAGAGAAACCTGCAGTAATTCAAGAGATAAAAGAGAAACCTATAGTAGTTCAAGAGATAAAAGAAAAACCCATGATAATTCAAGAGATAAAGGAAAAATCTATGACAATACAGAAGATAAAAGAAAAGCCTATGGTAATTCATGAAATAACACATCAACACAAATCACTTAACATGAGAGAAAGCATTAGAAATATAATCAATCAATTTAAGGAATTTGAAAAAGATTTTGTCCATGAAGATTCAGAAATAGATAAAAAGGAATTAGATGTTAAATATATACAACCTATAGAAATAAGTACAGAAAGGACAGAAGATTTATTGACTATAGATACTACAACTAAAGATGTAAAAACAATCAAAGATGCCAAAGAAAGCCTACGGGATATAATCAATCAGTTTAAACAAATAAAAAGTGAATTGACTTCGGAAGAAGATGATCTATTTGAAAAAATTGAAACTACGTATATGGAACGACCGATTGCAGAAACATTGATGCAGTTTAGCGAAGCTTTAAAGAATTTAATACAACGAAGACAAAAAAGTAAAACATTTGCTGTAAACATTTTTGAGAATGAAAATGACAAATCTAAATTACAAACCTTACCGAAACTAGCAGTAGAAGATCGGCAACTGCCAACAGAATCTTCAAGAAATTCAAATATTCAAAATTCCAATAATGAAGAAAAGGTACATAGTGCGGAAAAAACGAAAAAAATCAGTGGAAATATTAATGAAAAAGATACCTCAAATCCGGATACAAATAAAGTTTTACAAGAAAAATATTTTATAACGAATACCAATAATAAAAATGTCATCTTAAATGCTCAAAAGTCTAGTAATAATATTTTAAATAATATAGTAAATGCTTCCAACGAAAAAGATAAGACGATGCAGAAAAAAGATGTCGGAAATAGCTCAAACAATTAAACATGAGAACAACTCGTTAGTTTATGCTTTTTAATAATAGAATTATATAATTACAGTAATATGTAAATACGTTGTTCTGTGATAACAAAAATGTATATCTTAATTAATGCTCGTGCATTACCAACACGGAAAAAAGACGATATTTATTTTTTTCTGTGTTACTGTCTGAAATATCAAAAAAACATTGAAAAATGATAAAGCATTTGTTTAATACATAGTATCACAAATGTGCCACAATTGTAATTTTGTACTAATTGTAATTATGTACTTATGTAAAGAGAAAAAATCAAATGGTAAAAATTTACATATTTAATATTAAAAATTATAATAATTATTTTACGTATTATAAAAATATCTTAATGGTTTTTTATTTAGATGTTGAAATATTTATCTATATATTATTTGATATAAAGATAATATTTATTAATGCATGTTTTAAAAAAGAACACAATTTTATTATTCATCCTCGACTGTTTACAATTCTAATAAGCTGTCTTATAATATTTCCTTCTTTCTATCCTTGCATTTAGATTTTGCTTTCTTATATCCTGTGCTTTTTCTCCTTTTGTTACTTAAGTACATTTCTTTAGTTGTATTTTCATCAAACAGAATTTATCATTAAAAAAATACATTCGTTTCCATATTGGTATTTGCAGAGCATTGAAGTGCCTTAAAATTTCTTCCAAATTTTATATATTGTAAAATATTTAAAAAATATATATATATATGTGTGTGTGTATAACATATTATGTACCAATATTTTACAATAAGTAAAAGTGATTTATGACCAAATTACAATTGAAGATTTTATTAAAAAATATTATACAATTGGTCAGTATTCAATATATTTTTTATTCTAATAAATTTTTTAGAATTTTATTGAAATTTCTCAACCAATGCTTGTATTGTGTTATACAAAGTAAATACTAAAGCCGTCCAGTATAATATTTTTTCTCGTTTATCACTTTAAATGCGTAGGAAGATTATTATCATCGCACTGTTTAAATAAATGAAAAGTAATTACGTTCAAATTATATGATCAAGTTTATTTAATTATCATATATCACCTCATTTTGTATTTATATCAAAATTGATTTAAGACCTGCATTTTTGCTTGCTTTAATTTCAATTTCTGTAAAGTTTTATCAGAAACATGGATGTTCCATGTAAATTAAGATCAATATAATAAAATTATATTCTTATAAAAAAGTGTCGACTGTACGATCTATAAATGTGATTTAATATATCCAAAATTATTTAATAATACTGAAAAAAAATTTTACATAAACATTTTCATTATTATAAATTTATAATGTAATGTTTATGTAATAGAAAAGAAATTAAAAATTGAAAAGAAATATTTTTAAAAGTACTTATAACTCACATTTCATGATATTTCCGAGATTGTATCAACCCCTACTAATGTATTTCACATGTTTATATACGATGTCCCACTTTATATAGACAAAAAATTGAAAATTGCGAAAACAAAGCTGTTTTATTTGAATTCGCGCGAATACATCATATCCATGTTTCGGAAGTGTACAATTTTATTATTGCAAAGTTGGCGAACCTGAGCGTAGTTTACCGAGGTGGTAGGAGAGGTAACGCATGCGTACTCGTTTCGCGACGCAACAGTCGTAAACAACATTTTTTCCATTCAGATTTCTAACGAGTTTGCTCTTACACGATAATTAGAGCGTCCGAGGGACGCATCACAATTTTTCCGCGTTTTCGTACGATTTCGCGGAAAAAATGGAGTCAAGCTCGCATGTTCAGTGTATATGATACGTAAACTTCTGGGGTTTTGGCATGCGGTGACGTCATCCAGATCGTTCTGGAAGAACCCTGCAGGACAATAATGGCGGGTATGTATTTATGTCGACGGACGAAATATTGATTAGTACGCGAATGAACTGTCGTCGGTGATGTAATGTATTACGATTATTCGGTTTCAGATTTGTATGCTAAATACAATTGTACCTATTGTCAAGAGGATATCTCGGGCCTACGTGTAAGATGTGTAGAATGCCCAGATTTCGACCTCTGTTTGCAGGTGAGACGAGTTTGTTTCTCGATCACGTGTTCACGTCTCCTTCCCCCCCTCCTTCCCCTCCTCACTGTTTCGTCCTCCCTAATATCTCTGTCATATCTTCGTCTATCCTTCTGACTTTACTGGATTTTGCGTGTTGAGATTCCTTTTTCAGTCCCCACCCTTTTTTTGTGAACAAGTTATTCTATAACTACCCTACTACTTCACGAATTGAATGAAACCGCTGATCACGTGGAGACGGGTGCACGTGTACGTAAATTCTGTTCGTTAACGTAATTAATAAAAATATTAACGTAATTGTTCGGAAAAAAAATTTTTTTTAAATTTTGTAGTGTTTTTCCGCTGGAGCTGAAATTGGTCCACACAAAAATGACCACTCTTATCAGTTTATGGTAAGTGTCAAATCGTTTTTAAGTATTAAAAAATAACTTTCTTCTTTTGATGATACTTGAGAAATTAATAAATTATTATAGGATTCTGGTACCATTAGTATATTTAATGGCAGAGGAAACTGGACTGCTAGAGAACAGCTTAGACTTTTGGATGCCATTGAACAATTTGGTTTTGGAAATTGGGAAGACATTAGTAAACATATTGAAACACGTACACCAGAAGGTAAGGTTATTTTACATTAAAACTTCTTAGTATTATTTATTATTGCGCAATATCCAATTTTAAGGAAGGAGATACATTTATGTTTGAAGGAATGTTATTTATGTTCATTTATTTAATGTATGTTTTTACTTTATAGAAGCAAAAGAGGAATATATTGCCAGATATCTTGATGGCAATATTGGGAAACACACATGGCCTCCTACAGAAAGCTACAAACCAAATCTTACAGATCAAACTAAATCAGATCATGGACCTCTATCACCTGATCTTACATCTCGGTTACCTCCTTTGGATATCACTCCGGAGGAGGCTGCACAATTGGGATACATGCCACAACGAGATGATTTTGAAAGAGTATGTTTCAAATTAAAGAGTACGGTTATTATATTATATTACGTTATTACCTGGATTATACAATCAAAATCCTTTCTTACAGGATTACAACCACGAAGCAGAGTCGCTTGTTTCTTCGTTATTCTTGAACCCAGCAGAAGATGATGATTTGGACATAGCACTTAAACTTGCACAAGTTGATATGTATACCAATAATTTAAGGGAGAGAGCGCGACGAAAAAGAGTCGTACGCGATTACCAGCTTGTTTCCGCATTTTTTGCTTCATCTAGGAAAGATAAGGCAATGAAAAGAAAACAATCGAAGGAGGAAAAGTACGTTTGATTATTATTTAATAACAATAATTTGTTTCACATTCATAGGAAATCTATAATTTACAGGGAGTTCAGGGATAGAATGCGAGTATTTGCACAGTTTTACACAGCACAGGAATATGAGCAATTTCTAACAAATCTAGAAAGAGAAAGGGAACTACGATTACGTCTTTCTGAATTATATCGTTATCGAGAACATGGTATTACAAGACACGAAGAATGCGCTCATTTCGAACAAGTGATGGCACAAACTCAGGGACAAAATGATGCTGTGGATCACTGGAACGAAAAAAAATCTGTAAGTATGCGTATCCACATATCTATTAACTTTTTCCACATTGCAATGTTAATAAAAATTTTTTTCGAATGGTATACCTTTTATTTTATATTTTACTGAGTAATATTAGGTATATCTACTCGAATTCCAAAGTAAATTTTGTAAATATGCACTCGTAAAAGCTAGTAAAACTTTTGAACTCTCTTATTTCTTATTTCTTATTTCTTATTTCTTATTTCTTATTTTTATTGTTTCGCTTATATATTGCCTATTTTACAATTGTGACATAAATACATTATTAAAAAATTTATGCGCATTTAACACAAGTAATAGATTGTTATATTTTGCAATTGTTCAAATTCTTATTTTGTAATTCATCAACAGACTTGAAAATATGTTTAAAAAAGACCAATCAAACTTAAGTACGAAACACAGAATTTTAATTAGACACTAGCTTTTGCTTCTTCTTTAACTAATTCCATTGTTTGTGGTGCGTGTTGCCAGGCATTTGTGAACAGATTGTATCAGTTTGCATTTCACTTAGGGCAGCAGTGGGCCGTCCACACCAATACACCGCCACACCTCAAAAAAAAGGTACAGAACCGTCCTAAAATTCAACAACTTAATTCACAAAGATGACAATACTACAACTATTGCACTCAATAAAATAGATGATTTTAAGCAAAGATAAATTTGTTTCTTATTATCTTACAGAGAAGAAGAAAAAAATTACTCTTCCATCGACCGAAAGTACACTGTAAGAGACTTACCCAGCAGCAGCTTCTCAATCAATCAAATCAATCTCAATCGGACGATGACTCCAGCCAATCAGTGGGTGGAGTCGGATAACAATCCAAATTGTTCCAGCCAGCATTCTACCAGCTCCAGCTCTGCCGCAGACAAGAATTATATCACGACAACTTCCGGAAAATCTTGCGCGACAACAGGAGACTCAGAGGAACGAGACATAGAGATGGAAGCAGCGGCTCATCTATTAACAAAACAAGAAAAGTCTCTATGTCTTCAACTTGATTTAAAACCAACGCAATATTTAACACAAAAAACTTTGTTGTTGCAGGTAAGCTTCAATACATATAAATTTTTTGTTTAAAATTAAAACGTTTTTCAATTTTTATAAATTGTATGATTACAGGAATATCTAAATGGTAATAGGAGATCAAGTGTTGTACCTCAATCGGAACCAGAGAGTAAGATATTACATTATCTGGTAGCAAATGGCTGGATTGCGGCCAACTGATTAAACACAAAAAATTAACGACCATTTCAATTCTAAGTCACCTTCTATTTTGCAAACTAAGTCCTAGGTATAATTGAAATTTGAGTCTGATTTAATTAACATATATAAGACAGGTAGAGAGAGAATGTGTGTGTGCATAATTTATAAAAATATTTTTCTCCTTTCCTTTTCTTTTTCCTAGTTCAAGTGGAAAATTTAGAGGAATGTACTGATGTATGAATTAGAAATGATGAAAAGAAAAAGTTGATTGATTTGTTCACTTCATTACATGAACTAAAGGAACACTAATCTTGAAATGACTTGAATAAGAACATTTTTTTATTGAATTTTATTGTTTTTATTAAGTTAATATCATTTATGACGGTTTAATCGTCAATCATTGATATTCTTAATTGCTTTTTAAAGATTCAAGTATTTTCATTATTACCGGATCGTATGAAATACTTCCGCAAACGTCTGTACTTTATTCCAATGAATATTATTTTAGATTGTCGTTTAATTATTTAACATTTTTTGTCGAGAAAAATCTCTTACACTGCCTTTATCGAGCCATGAATATATTGCTCAATTAATTCTTCCATTGTCAATGTTTTCTTCTATAGATTATTAATTGCACATGCTCCTTTCTATCTGTTTTAAATGTGATTTGTTACCATACTTGACAATAAGGAAGCGTAAGAAAGAAGTCACGTTATAGTCGAGATTTCTAGATCGTTGTTTAACGCAACACTTAACACGATTGAAACATATCCATTCGGGAATTTATCATCGATTGATACTTCATGTAACGGTATTTGAAAGTTGTCGGCTGGATATGTGTTGAATTATTTAAGTAAAAAGCACTTAAAATATTTATATAGCTGAGATTCGTGAAAGTATTGAATATTACTAATTTAATAATAAGTATAATGTTCTTGATAAATTATACATATATAGATAAACGTACATAGATACATATTTCTTCGTATTCTCAAAAACTTGTCCATTGAACGAAAAGGATATTATAATCGTCTTTCGCATGCACGATTCACGCGTAAATCAATGCATTTTATTCGATAGATTCTTTAAATAATTTGAAGGATATTCCTTATTGATAAAGAATGGTACAAAGAGCAAGTTATAAGAGAACATTTGTTATTATATGTATCATGAAGATACTACGATATTAGATAATTTATCTGTTGCCTCTATGTAATATTTGTACATACGAATGAAAAATAGTACCTTCCTAGTGATACTACTTTTAATGCACAACAAATAATAACGGCATAATCTAATGATACGTTAAGGGTATAGTGTGATAACGGTGACGTTCGGAGTTGTATTGCAGAAAAAGACACCCTAACGTTTTAAAAAACTAATTATTTTCCATTACTTCTAATAACAGTTTTACATAATTTGGAGTTATAAAATGAAAAAAAAGATATTCACAACGGAATTTATGAATTTTTGTCGCTTTTTACATCCATGAATGTATAGTAACAACAGCTTCTGTAGCTCATACATACAAGTCAAAAGCATCGAGGAACAATACAGTTTATCCAAAATTCGTATTACTTGTATTCTCGTATGCTTAGAAAATTGAAAAGAAAAATTTATTTACATACGTAATTCAATACTTCTAAGAATATCTCCGCTTACCGAAGTCTTGAATAGCTTAAATTCGAGAGAAAAATTTAAATGAAAAAAGTTTATCTTGTATCATTATATAAATGTAAAAAAAAAAGTGAAATGTATATATATACATATATATATATATATATATATGTATATATACATATATATGTAATATATACATATGTATATATATTTCAAAATGAAAGATATCTTTTTTTAGACTTCTTTCCTCATGTGTGTGACATTCTTTTATAACTATTTACAATCGTAAATGATTTTTTTTATATGTATAAATCTAAATGAAAGTTTATCTTATATCATTATGTAAACGCAAAGAAATTGAAAAAAAATTCTTCTAAAATTTAAATTTATTTACATTAAAAAAAACTATTTACATGCAAATAATTGTAAAAAAAATGTATGAGGAAATCAATCTAAAAAAATATATCTCATTTTGAAATACTACTTATTATGGCGTATCGCTTAAATACTAAATAGTTAGGTAACAAAATAGGGAAATAGCTGCTCATATTTTTTACGGAGAGTAGAAGACTATTTTCCCTTTTATTCGATGTAACTCTATTTTTCGCCCAAACTTTCGCAAACGGGCGTGACAATTTTTCGACATACGCTTTTTCGAAACTCCGCAATTTTTTTTCTTTTATTGTTTATTTGAGAGAATGGCTCGAAAGTCGATTGAAGTAAGTTCCGTTTCATCATCCCGTGATTTTTACAATAGCGCTAGATCTATCATTTCTTTTTTAATTTGCTTAATATTCTGTATTAATAATAGTTTCTTCTTTTATTTATTGCTTCGCGGAACTCTCACGTTGTTTTAAAACACTTTCGACACACGTTTTTGTAAATCGAATATTTTAAAAACATTATACTTTTTTTTTTCGTTTTTGTCTTCGGTTTTTTTTTTTTTTTTTTTGACTTCCTAATCGTTGATAGTAATTTGCACGGATCGACTTGTCCGTCGTTTGACTGTAATATTTCTATAAGAAATGGTCCATTAAGAATAGAGACTGTTCAAATGAGTGAACATAAATGAAGTTATCTCAACGAAGAGATCGGTACGCCTTCCTGTAGTTACCTAAAACAAAAAAGAAGATGTAGTAATTTACAAAGTTCAGAAACGGAATTCGATGTGCAAACATCACAGCGATCTTTGTACACAAACTGCATCGTTTTAACTTTTATAAAATTTAGGGAATGAATTCATACGTGTTTCTTTTTTTTTTTTTCGTTTCACACCGAAAGATGATGAGATACAATTATTTTGTTTGAAGAGATGAGAATGATCGTTTATTAACGAATGAATATAATGATTATCATTCGCAGAATTCAAAATGTTTTCAAATTGAAATGGGATTTTTATCCTGATATATATTTGTATAACAAACAACGAGTTTGTTACTCCTCATTGTTCTAGGATATAATGGAAGAATTACGATTTCAAAGCGCGAAAGGCTTTCATTCTTATACTTGAATTAAACAGTCGTTGAATGTATAAAATAAACTATACAATAGGTATTTTCCCTTAAAATTATATTGCTATTTAATTCCCTATTGTTCCTTGAACTATTTGCCTTCCTTTACATAGATCTTTAAATTTTAATAAATAGTATTCTGCATCTTTTTCATCTTTACTTTGAATTTAAATTCATTTTAATATAATCTAAATAATACTTATTTTAAATTCCATTATTATGTTCTTTTTTAAATTTATGTATTAAATATATATAATTTATTATATTGAATTATATATAAATATTATATTGAATTATTATATAAATATTATATTTATATATAATTTATTAATATTATATTTATGTATAATTTATTATATTGAAATATCAGATTTTTCTTTTTTTTTTTTTTGAAATATTTTCATCTTTTATAAAAAATATATTTTTCTTTTACCTAAATATTACGAGAATCCGTTTAATAAATACTAACATGATTCAGAACCGCGAAAAAAGCAGATTTTCTTCAGCGTTCGAGCAAATATTTGCACGACGAGTCAATTCTTAGATTTGTGCAGATTTCATAATATATAATTTTCACCTTTTACGTTCTCCTAACAGTATATTTGTTTCTTGCATTTGATATCCTGCGTCATAAAATTTACAACTTATAGATTATCTTAGTACATACCAAATATTTATTTACCAATCAGTTTGGTCTGGCTCATCAGGGATCAAATAATATAGATCCAATTCAATTGGTGAAGCTTAGTACTGCAATTTGTGTTCCAGAAAGAATAAATGTTCTTAAGAATGAACTGTATGTTAGGATAATATAAGAGTTGAACTCGTACAATCATAACGAATCATAGATTGATTGAAAGTCAAGCAATTTCTTCTCCGATAAAAGACTGTTCCTTACCGATATGGAAGGACAGTAAATTTCTTTCGTATTCGTGTCCTTTTCACACTCTGTTTTGTACACACTCTCACACTCTTATTGTTACCTGCGAGCCTGTTTTACAGACATTGGCTAGCCGGTGATAGCTAATCATTTAAAAATATGAGTCGTTTGGATTGCCCCAGCGTAACCTGTCCGGATAAAGCTAAATCAAAGGGCAATCGAAGGAATGAAACCGATCGTTTCTCAAGGACACCAAATAAAACAGGCAGGTCAGTGACCCAAATTGATAACAAGAAGTGTTCACGGCACAATGGCCACGTTGGAGTAGGCATTAAGACTTTTCGTCAGCAGGAAAAAACGGGGCGAGCCTTTATCACAAATATCTAAGAATAAGACAATAAATTCCTTCATGCTGACAAGAAACCTAAATCGTTTTTTGTCCGTATAATTCTACAAGAAACTATGTGTACATAACTTGAACACATTGCGACCGTCTCGCAGTGCACCAGAAAATGGCCCGAACACAATTATTAATTACATTACTTATGATTAAACTTGACAAATACATAGATCATTTTATTACAATATTTAATCTATGAAACAAACCTCAATTTGGATTTTAATGAATTTGCTTATGAATTCGTATAAATATCCGCAGTCTGCTAATAAATTAGAATTTAATGTGGCATGTTCAACGATATATTATGCTTTAGACTTTAGAGTCTCGATTATTTCTCACCTTACTGGTTCTAATCGTTAAATTATCATAATGTGACGTAACATAGCTAGATCTATCTGTAATCTTCACCATTTCTAAAATCTTGACCGACTTTGGAAACTTTCTGAGACCTTGAAGCTCTGTTTATAGACTTATTAATTATTGTACTTCAGTGGAGCAACTCGCAAGCAGAACCTGTCAATTCTAAATTACGAGTCTAAAAGTTGCAATATTTTTATTACTGAAATCATTTATAGTTGGAATTATTCATTAAATTTACGTCTTTGGTATAAAAAATCGCCAATGATGCATCACATTAATCGTTTCTCGAATTAAATGCTTCTGACGTCTGTACAATTTTTTTCCTATTTTGCATATCCTTCGTCGTCAATTTCAATATCGTATTGTAAAATATGCAATTTCCCACTCCATATTCTTCCTTCCACATGCGTAAATATATATAAACATGATTATGCCACTTTTTATTAAAAGTTTTTTTATTGGCAATTAGAGACTTCTAGGTTTTTCTATTTAGATCGATTAAATTGATTCTTCGCGTCGCATTAATAGATTTAATATCAGTACCATTATCCTTATTATATCAAATCACGCAGACAGTATCAAACACAAATTATATCAAATCATACAAACAATAGGAAAAAATATTATAAATGTAACAGTGAATTTCTCGCGTGAATTTTTAATAAAATTTTAAAAAAATTAGAAGAGAAAGAATTTCGTAGGAAATAATATATAAATATCGATGATTTATTATAGAAAAATTACTTACTCTCTTTTTTCTAAGGAGAAATTTTAGATATGTATATGACAGCTAATCATAGATAAATTATTATAGATAGATATATATATATCAATAAGAATGCATCGGTACAAAAAAAAACTGATTAATATGGAAAATATTAAGATCAAATCTTCGTATTGAGTTATAATAAGTTATCGGTAATTCTCACATTAAGAAGATGTAGAAATAAAACCTTTTCTTGAACATTTCCTTGAATCTTATCATTGTTTTCAAAAACAAATGAACCTCCAATGCCCTAAGAAATACCTACTTCAACATAAAATTTCACATTTTTGTTGGAATTTAAAAAATTTCTTTTAACGACAAAAAACTAACGGCCTCAGTTCAAGACGGCGAGAGGAATGACGAAGGCTCTTTTATATTCATTTTAGATAATGGTTGTGAATGAATCATTCCTAATCCTTAAATCTTTATTAATTCAACGCAAGTCTGCGCTTCACGTTATGTATATTTATTTATGTATTTGTTTTTCGTGCTATCTCGTGATTTTCTCATTCTCGTCAAGTATCGATTAATTTAGTAAAGTGTTCTTCAACCATTCCGTGAAACTTCAGAATAAACAATTGATTTCCTCATTTGATCTTCTGAATAAAACAATACCACCTTATTATCAAGTATGATATCTCACGTCTGGAACTGTTTATTCAATAAAGGTTTCATATAAAGATTTCACATGAGATACATAGGTAATAATCGAACATCATTAAAGCAGGATAACGCGACATAAGTCATGATTTGAATAGATTAAATCTGTAGAGTTGTTGGCCGTGATGATTTTATTAAATCGAACAAACAAATGAAAATTGAACTGGTTTAATTATTTATCTTTAATTAATTATTTATCTTTTTTATTTAAATGAAATGTGTTTTCCTATTAGATTGAATAAAACCATAAATTGTAATAATATATTCTGTTTCTCGTTTATAATCTTCTATTACTAATATTAATCGTCTAATTTTTTCAATATTCAGAACAGGTTCTTCATTATCTAATTTTCCAGTTAAAACTTTCTTCTATTAACTTTGCGTCATTATAAAATCTCAGAGATTAAACAAAAGTAAATCCGTAAATCGGTAAAATCACTAAAATGAACACGCATTTATAAAATCTGAGCGCAGAATTGTTATAAAGCCAGATAATATCATGTTAAATGTAATTATGATAATGTTACGAAAACGTAAGGAAATAATGTCTGAAAACGAAATTTGAGTACCTTGTATTTTTATTTTTGAAATTAAATTAATCTCCAAAAAATTAATCCAGTAATCTGAAAATGGTTAATGCTTAATCACATGTATAAATTTGGAAGTTTTTTATCAAGACTTTAGAAAATTAAAAAAAAATATAGACAAATAATTTATTAATATAGATAAATAATTTATTAATTTTTTAAAATTATCTGTCGATTAATAATTTGAAATTTCGGATTATCGAAATTATTACAGTATTATTTTAACATTTTACAAAAATGACGCAATACTTAATAGATACTGCACAGCGTGCGAATATACGAAAATATGACTAATAATTTTCATAATCATATTTTCAAAAATTTAAGTCATTATCACATAGTCTCAAATGCAATGTATGAAATGACCATGCCAAGCAGCAAATCAAGAAGGATATTTTTATAACTTGATAAATAAATAATTCAAGAAGTTGAATAACAATCCTTTTACAAATGCTTTTTGCGTTCATTATCTGAATATATTACTTCAGAAATGAATAAATATGTTACAGTCACAGTTCTACAGAACTACAGTTGTTTTAATGTGGTTATTTATATTCAGTCAAATTATTTTCATTGCTCAATAGACAATTAGATAATAATTGATCTGGTGATACAAGAAGAGAAATAAAATTTCCAAGCACTTTCCCTTTTAACCTTCACAATAGAATCTTCCAAAAGATACCAATGTAGTCTCTAACGCAATCTTGTTTCTCGATAGAAAGAAAATATACTTAAATTCTTGCGTTATGTTATATCCTTTATCCTTTTTTATATCTATTTTATCTATACATTACTTAACATTTACGTTACATTTTGTATTTTGTACCATTTTGATGCGTATGATTTATTTAAAAATTGGATAAGAACATAAGGAAATGAACACGAAGATTGTTAGAGTGATTTCTTTTCAGTAACTACAATTTTCTGATATTTCAATGTTCATTTTTCAATAACGCAGGAAGAAATTATTCTCAGTTTCTTTACAAAAATTCTCAGTGAAATAAATATTATTCCCATTCGTATTTGTACGAAAGATAAAGTTGTAGAAGATGAAGGAGAAAGTTCGAATCAAAATATTAAGATGAAATTAAATTTTGCTGTATCTCCCTACTCACATTTATTTCACGCGAATTGAGAAATAAAGTAGTGTAGAAAGTAACAGGAAACGAAAAGAAAGAATTCAAATTAAACACTGAGATAAAATTATTTTCCACAATTGTTTCTCACTTACGATCGTTCTCTGTTAATAAAAAGGACGTTTGTACAAATTTCCTAAGAATGGAAAACTTTAAATGAGATCATACCGAACGACACAAGCATGCTACATTGATATAGCCATAGGAGATATCGACAAAACACTGAAAAAAAAAAGCATTAAAATGCATATCATCGTCAGATCAAGAAACAAGTCGAATATTCTGCAGAAATTCGAACAAAAGATATAGCGTCGATTTCCACGTACAGCTTGGTCTGTGTGAATCGTTATTATTCCCACCTTCGCTCACACTGGACCTCCACGATTAATCCTACCAGTGTTCTAGAGGCTGGACTTATGTATATAAGCCTCAGGAGCCAGATCTCTACAGTCGTAGTCACGAATCGCAGCTAACACGTCTAGGTGAGTCTTTCGCGTTTATAGAGAGTGTCTCACGTAAGGTGTTGGATAACCATGAAAGGTTGGTGGTTAATTATACTAAAATTTTTCACTAGAACTTTTAAAAACAGAATGATGAATTTGAAAGTAGCGTAGACAGTAGAAATACTCTCGATTTTATTGTGCGAGAGAAAATGGAATGAAATCGATATAAATCAGAATGAAATTTTCGAACAGAAGAAGAAAAGCTTTTTGTAAAGATGCATTATCAAAATGTCCCAATCGTATTTAATTTTCGACTTTGTCTTGTTATAACATAAATAGACTACGAATGCTCGCATGCTTTTAAAAAATTTAAGAATACAAGAATCAAACATGATAATATATATTAATACAAATAACAAGACAAAATACAATTGTGGCATTTAGTGCATGAAACAAATTTCTGAAAATCAAAAAAATTGTGTGACAACTTCAACAGAGTAATCATAATAATGGCTTCTAATCTGTAAAATATTTTCGAAAGTAAAATTATATTTTAATTGTAACATTTTTATTTCTTTCGGCAGCTATGCATCAAGTATTGATCTGTATTCTCATCGTGGTGTCGATCGTTTATGTGATCGCTCGACCCGATGAAGAAATCTTGTCCGCATCAACTCTCCCTGGAGGAAAATATACGAGTAAATATGACAATATCAATGTAGACGAAATCTTGCAAAGCGATCGTTTGTTAAATAACTATTTCAAGTGTTTGATGGACCAAGGAAGATGCACTCCTGAAGGAGCTGAACTGAAAAGTACGTAATACGTAAGAACGCTATATAATTCACTTTATTGCAAAAGAGCTTATTCGCTGTTAATTATAATTATTATTAATAATATTATTATTAAATAACTACTAATAATATTGTTAATAATAATTATTAAACAATAATTATCTTAATTTTCTTATTGCACTTGGTCATATGTCTATAATTTTCACTGTAATTTTATTTTCACTTTCAATTTCCTTTCCCGTTATCCCAAATTACTCCAAGATCAATTTAGTATAATAATTTTTATCTTTATTATAAATTGCTTTCGTTTTTCTATTATATCATTTCCCACGTTATTTATTAATCTATCATTTTGCTTTTCTATTATTGTTATTATTTTTCTTTAATCGTTAAATCACGTAAAAATTAAATATTGATTTAGCTTACTTAAGATGTGCTACTTTCTACTGTCGTTTCTTTCTCTGATAAATAATTCTCTCTTCAATCTTTCAGGAATCTTGCCCGATGCTTTGGCCACGGAGTGTCAAAAATGTTCGGAGAAGCAGGCTGAAGTAATCAAGAAGGTGATCAAGTACCTGGTTAACAATAAGCCGAAACTGTGGGAGGATCTCGCGAACAAATACGATCCCGACAGGAAGTACCGAACGAAATACGAGAAGGAAGCGGCAGAACTCGGCGTAAATGTTAATTAAACGCAATTCGATCGATCGTGCGACAGGAATGCATAAAATTCCAAATTGTCACGAGCGATTAATATTCTTCCCGGAAATTATTTACGCTTAATGTAACGATCGAATGTTAGTAATCGATTGCGATACTTGTGCGTGCGAAACCGCTAATTATCTCGACGCGGCTAATAATTAAAATGGTTTTATGATTCAGTTGAAATAAAAATTGATTTGAACAAACGTACTCCAATTTGACATTTATTTTTTAAGAAAGTACGAATTCTCGGCCAAAAAAACTAAATTAAAAAAAAAAACTGGGGGTGACATTGGCCGTTCGTGCTCTCCTGTTTTAGCGGAGTAAAAATTCACTTCAATGAACGAGTTCCAGTTGGTTTTTATTTCGATAAAAAAGAAAGAAAATGCAAAAATCCTCCTTGTGCTCATTGGCATTCGTTGTTCGTACTGTCCCTGTTTCAGCGGAATAAAAATTGACTTGACCGAGCGAGTTCTGGTTTAAAAAAAAAAAAAAACGACAAATTCCTTTGCACGAAGAAGATGCAAAAATCAAAGATACTGCTCACTTTCTCTCTTTTTTTTTTTTTTGCCTCACACGCTAAAACTTGGCTTGGTTTTAAATAATTTCGTATTCGTTGAGTAGTTTTCGTTCTCTCTCGGGCATCGTATTGTTTTCTACCGGCTTGAAACGAGCGAACGATATCGGAACATGCTATTGTATAATTACGAAGGTGATCTTAGCAATTTTTAATAACGTAACCTTGATATTATGTCCACTGTAATTTTCTACGTGTCTAATGTTTACCGATGGAAGGAGCTTCATTACGTAGTTTGCATTTGAGGTAACTATTAGACGAATGCGCAAGTGATTTCAACCAATCGGAATGATTTTTATTGAAGTGGATTTCGTAGTTTCTAGATTCATTTTGTTTCAATTCACGGACGTAATTAACTTCCGATATAAAGAGATGTAACGATAGCAATACTAATTATTGTATCATGACAGTAATATTAATCGTATTTGTTCATTATGCTCGCTTATATCCTTGAAAATCTTTCTACGTAATACCTACATATATTTTTAGAATTTTATCAGAAGATAAAGTTAGTGTGTTCGTTAATGTGTGTGTGTGTGTGTGTGTGTGTGTATGTTTCCTAGTTTTGACGTATTCTTTTATTTCGATTATTTTTCTATAGTTCGTCAGTAAATTAAAAATCATTGTCAAGTAATTAAAATTAATATTTATCGTTCAGCATCAAAAATTGACAGTAAACAATTGAAATTTTTCAAATTGAATGGTTTTCGTCAGAATTAGGATTATTGCAATGCTAATTAAAAAATCGTTTTTTATTGTCGAAACAAAGCAGATGCGTATGATATTCCGATATCCCATGATAAATGAAGTTATCAATACATTAAATAATTCTTTTTCCCAAGTTTTCAGCTTATTGTACAGCACGTTGCAATGTTTAACATATTATTCAATATTACTAAATTTTGTTATTTTACTTTTATATCATTTTCAATATTATTTCAATTTTTTTTTTTTTTTATTTTCAACATTACTAATCTACCAATTAATCAATCCAGTGTTCAGAAGTTAACGTCTTTCTAATAGAATGAAAGCAATGAAATACGAGTCACGAACGGAAGAAAGTAAAACTAGCCAATGTTGATTCGTTTGTTAAAATCAAGACACGATCGAACAGAGATTCTCTTATATAAACGTTGCTTGCAAAATACAAATTTATCTCGATATTTGTCAAGTCACTCTTGTCAAACTCTCCTAACCAAGAGATCTGCGACAATTAATAAGAGGTCCCGAGAAGGGGAAAGTAGCATAATGACGGAGGAATACGTGTCTTCTTTAACCAACAAAATGACGATCCTTGGGCTCGCATGAATTGTATAAATCGATCACACGTCAATGCGAAACAAGCTAAACTTTTGCATACAGAATAGTAAAGATGTCTGGAATGGAGAATGTCACCAATCTCGGTCTACGAGTGGAGAAATTCAAGAAGAATTTCCTCAAGCACTTCCAAGCCAATTATCCAACCTTGTATCATATTTTCCTCGATCCGATAGGCACTCATAAAAAGTCGCGTGCGTTCATCGGTTTTCTGCTTGGATTTTTTCTCGGCGTTCTTCTATACGAATGCATTATCATTGATCTACAATTCGATCCGTATACGAGCGTGTGTCTCGGTGGTATCGTAATTACAATGCTCTCGATTGGATGTGCTATGTCGATTCAGGTGACTATTAATTCTTTCGATTCTGTCTCTGTTATTTAGAGAGAGAGAGAGAGAGAGAGACATTTAATAAAGATCTGCAATGAGTTTTCTGTCTGAGTGAGAAATATTTCTTTTTTATTAATTATAGTATTATAATATAATTTATTATAATATTATAATTATAGTATTGATAGTATTAGGTTTTATCGCGAATATTGTGAAATTCTTTTATAATATAACTCTATTATAATATATAATATATAATATATTATAATTATAACATAACTCTATTATATATAATATATAGTATAATATATTATAATATAATATAACTCTATTATAATATATAGTATAATATATTATAATATAATATAACTCTATTACAATATAATATATTATAATAATATAATTATAGTATTGATAGTAGAAGTATTAAGTTTTATCGCGAATATTTTGAAATTCTTTCACAATGTTTCCTTGTCTCTGAGAGAGATGCGAAATTGAGTTGTTATTTTTAACAGGTGAGATGCATTTGCATTCTAACGATACCAGCGTTTTTTGGCCGAGCAGGTCGAAGTATGTTGAGAGCACTGATCCTTGGTTACGTAATTGCCGGGCCATTGTTCAATTTAGTATACAACGCCAAGGAAGTAGTGAGAACGTTCGGTTGTACCACTCAGCTAACGTACAATCTTACCAAGACGCGATTTGACTTAATGTTCAAACCATTTCAACAGGTACACTATTTTACGAAGCATAACGTTTCAACTATAATTCTAATATTTCTGTCGCGTTGTTTTAATTTTTAAGTCAAATTAAATTTAAAAAAAAATATTAAATTTCAAATAAAAATGTCCAAAATCACAAGTATCATACATCTCTACTTAATTGCGATCATTTGTAATTACGTATAATTATTGAATAAAAGGCGATCCTTGCTATGAAAGCGGATTCAAACGAGATAAAAGAGACCCTGTCTTCGGTGAGGGATTTGATGAGCCCGATTGTCGAAGAAGTGGAGGGGGAGAGTGAAATGTTACGATTGAAAGAGGAGAACGATTACCTGGACGAGTTGCAAGGTGACACGAAGAGAAGCAAGGAGATCGAAGAGAAGCACGAGAAGAAAGCTGAGAAAGCCAAATCGGACGCGGAAGCGTACGAAGCGAACTATAAGAAGAAGATTGAAGCTCGATGCGAGGAGCAACTTAGTCGCGGTGCTGGAAGATGCAGGTACGTTTCCAAAAATTGTGCATTCTGTACACTTTGACGTTGTCTTGCACATTAAAATGCATAAAAATCCGCTAATTATTATCTATATGTATATATATATATATAAATATTTAACGATTCTCAATTGTCTAATTGTTTCATTTTTAAATAGAAATTGTATCTTCCGTAAGTTTCTCGCGCCTTGTAAATTTCAAATTACGTTCTCAAATATCTCGTAACAATTTTTAAAGGGACATGTTCGGCAACGCTTATGACAAGTGTTACGAAGCAGTGACGATATTCGTTGCTTGGCTCCTGTGCTGGCCGATGAAGCTGACTTTCGTTTGTAATCTGGTCCAAGCACTGGGTGGTTCTAGCATCTGTGATCCTGAAGGGAAGGTGGATAGCGGCATCGGCGAAGGATACGTCGCACTGAAAAGTAAGACAATCTCTCCACTATTAAATCTTTCAGAGATTTCTTATTATGTAAAATAGACGTGTATTAAAATATTTTTATGAAATCAATAATTTATGTCAAGTTCATTCGATTAATTTTGTGTTTCTTAACAATCCAATAGACATTCAAATAGACTTTCCTTTATATATACAATAGACTTAATGTTTCGATCATGCTTTAAGAGATGAGTATTAACAGTAGAATTAAGAAAACTGATGAAAAGTACAATTAATCAGTCTCACTGAGAAAATTCCATGTATGTACCGCTGTATCGCTGTTCGTGAATCTCGATTTCCTGTGTTAAAGTTCACCTGGACGATCCTTCTTCAAAGGTGCGCGGGACGAATTCAGCAGAAGCTTGAAGGACGCGAAGCTCCAGTACAAAGTGAAGAAGCCTTCGGTGATTTTGGATCTCCAAGACTCGGCGTATGCGGCAAAGGCGGTGATACACGAATTCGCTGTGCGAAGAAGGCTTTTCGAGTCGGTGATGACCATCGTGAAAAGATGCTTGTCCTTTGTATTTCTAAAAATTATCCTCAACGCTCAGACCTACCACGACAAATATTTAACCGACATTGAGTTCGATAACGTGTACGTGACGCCTTATTTTCGGAAAATAGACGCGAGGAGGAAAGCACGCGGCAGTGTGACCCTGTTACCATTGAAGAAAATAGAGCAGAGGAAGTTCGTTGATCCCTATGCCGTGAAACCGAGCAAAGCGGAAAGATTTCATTTGACTGGACAGACAGTTAAGTTGCTCTTCGAACTCATCACTGCCACAGTTTTCGTCATTCTGGATTGGTTGTTCTACGAAGCGTTGGATTTAATTAGGAGGCACGCTTATATGGAGTACACTCAGGTAGAATTTACTCGACGAAAACAAGGGTAAAGAACTTTGTGGTTTATTATAAATTTAACTTTCAATTTATAACTGTAATTATTATTGTGTAATTTATTAAAATTTACGTAATTATTAAAATTTTAACGTTGTTTTTGTAGCGACAACAATGTTCAGTCAATTTAATTATATTGAATTGTTATAGCAAAAACAATGTTCAGTGAATTTAATTATATTGAATTTATATTATATTTATATTAAATTTATATTTATATTAAATTATATTGATTTATATTATAATTATATTTAATTATATACATATTCTATCCCTTCAAATATCCATTCAAAGAAGTAATTAATAAAATGTTTTAGACTTAATAATCACTAGATTATTTAATGATTATTAGATTCTATATATTTTCGAATGTTTAGTTTGTTATATTAAAAATTGAAAGAAAATTACTATCGAATTCTCTTCTGTATTAAAATAGTTTATTATATTAAACTATTTTATAATATCTATCCTAATATCTAAACTATTCCATAATATCTAATATTATTAAACCATTCTACAATATCTCTTCTCTAATATAATAGTTTATTATATTAAAAAATTGAAAGAAATTATTTATGACCAACACTGTCGAATTCTCTTCTATAGTAATAGACTAAATAACAGAATAAAAATAATAACAAGTCAAGTGACTTTGACAATATATTCCACAAATTACAAACTGCCCAGACTATTGCAAAAAAATTTATAAAAGAAATATCTACAACGTATTTGACCAATCAATTCACAAAGATATTGCTAGTCGTCAAGTCGAAAAGAGAGTCGTACTGACCTAAAACTCGCTGTTTCTGTTCCAGGCTGGCCTGCACGACCTATCACTCGAAATCCGTGGCACCGGAGTGGTCGCTTCACTGATCAGAAGCGCGATCCGCGGTTTCAACGTGAAGAAACGGATCAAAACTGTCGTTACGAACAGCGCGTGTCTTCCGCGGCCCACGAAACTGCCCACTTACGTAATCATCAAGATTTACGGCACATTCCTCGCCATTTTCCTCCTCATCTTCCTGTCAGTGTACACCGAACGGCTACGACGTGGAATCTGCTCGTTCTTTTATCGAAGAAGGGAGAAGAGACGGGTGTTGTACCTCTACAACGAGAGCCTACGACGTAGGCTGTCGCACGCCAAGTCCATGAGGGCCAAGGTGAAGAACATGGTAAGGACGCGTCATTTGGAGAACGAGGCGAATTTCTGGCTGGCTGTGAGGCTCAAGTGGCCAGATCGTTTCGGCTGGCTCAGGTTCTTCGCCTGCGCCAGAGATAGGTGTTTGATTTGCGGCGACACGGAGCCTAGAAAAGAGCCGAGGTACCGGGCTTGCGCCACGCCAGGTTGCCCTTTCTTGCACTGTGCCGAATGTTGGCGAGACGTGGGCAGGGTTTGCTACGCCTGCACCGAGTTCTCCGATACCGAGACGGAGGAATACGACACTCAGCGTAGTGATTTTTAATTCGCTCGTTGAAGCTCAACGAAACACAGGAAAAAATTTTTTTTAACAATTCCGATCTCGAAATTATTTGAAACTGACGACGAGCAACATATTACACTTTCTTGACTGACTGTAATTAAAGTTGTGCGATCGTAATAATTATTCGCCGACAAATAAAATAATCTAGGGTAAGTAGTATTATTTCAGATTGTTTCTGATATTTCAATACTTTCTTTTGATTACAAGATACTTATCTAGAATACTTAAATGTGAAGATAGTAATGAATAGGTTTGAGTGTTTGATAAATATCTTTATCGCGACGTTCTGCAATTTGACATATATGTATTAATCTTTGAATAGTATCATTAAGCTATAATAATTTATGTTAGACTACTAAAATTTAGGATACTTAATTTTCTAGTGTATTTTACATACACATAAAATTGAAATAAATGAAACAGTTGTTATTGTTCTTTCTAAAAGTATAAAATACTAAATTATATTATAGCTATTTAAAATCATTTTATCGATGATGGTCATCTTATTTTTAATCATTTTAAAATAATTTATACAAATAGACCGTGACAGTCGATACTTTAAATAGATAGTTCAATTGAAACAAGGAAACTTAAATTTAATAAATTTCACTCTAATCTAACGCACGATATCGCGTATTATTTTTCAAAGAAGTATTACCACGCGTGTCGTTAACGTCAGTTTCACGTCTCAGGATACTAGTCAAGATTTTAGATTAGCTAGTAGCTAGAAATATTTATTTTTCGAGGTCCAAACTACGATATCATCAGAAACGTGTAAGGCCATCTCTACGTATAAATCTCACGTAGCAAACTTGACAAGAAGTCTCAGATTTCACGGGGAAGGAACGAGAAAACTTAAAACGTGCATTTACTAGGTTGAATTTATGAGAGCCGTGGTACTCGAACGGAATAGAAAACGTCCGACAGTACCAAGTAAAATACTTCCTAGTTCTGTAATAATGGTATTATCGGATTCAAGGAACATCCGCGTCTCTATTAAATCTCCAATGATGTCGACGTCGTATCAAGGCAATGTACATAAGTGTAATGAGTTCCAGACGCGGAACGATTTACGTTTATTTCGTGTAATTCAAGGAAAGGTTGCGATTATCCGATGAATCTATTGGAATACCACATCAGAGTTTCGCAAATTGCATAAAATTCTGTTTACGCGTGCAAAGAAAGCAAAGACTAAAATATTATTCTTTGCTTTCTTTGTGCTATCTTTTTTTTTTTATTCAATTTAACACTAAGAATAAACTGATACCAAGCTTAGAAAAAGAACAACTTGTTAGATTCACGGACATGTGTTTCCTGGAAATATTTATGAAGACAATCTATGAAGTATTTTCTAAATTATTTTTGGAACGTTCAATACATATTTAACTTGACAACTTCAACTAAAAGGGCATTAATTGATCTATTTTAAATTGCTTACTTATATTTTACCGTTTGTCCTTTTTATAGGTCCTGAGTTTCATAATTTTTGCCATTTTACCGTTTCATAATCTTCTGCTACTTTATTATTTTATACCTTTGTCACATTGCAACTTTCAATTCTGACAGTTCAATAATCATACTGTTACAACTGGACTTACTCTGCTACTTTAACTTGCCATTTTAAAATTCTAAATAAATATTTTGTCATTTCATAATTCCACTCGGTACATTTTATCGCCGTGCTGCTATATAAATTTTCTATTATTTTACCATTTTATAATTTTACAATTCCATCATTTCCCTATTTTTTTCCACTTTATTGTGCTACGTATTAAAAAATTAGCTATCGAAGTATTTTCGCATAAACGAGACACGAAGAGAAACGACAGAGGTCCTCTCATAATGATCGTGACATAATCTATGCCGAGCTTACGCTGGAAGAATTGCTCGGTTCGTCAGACGTCTTTTCGCGGAAGAAAATCATCGTACCATTTTTCCTAACGAATTACGCGGTAGGTAGTACAATTTCGTTTCGATATGATAAGTAATCGGCCGCGATTTCGTGCGACTAACGAGCCGTGCACGAGACATATAAGATCGCCACGCTAACGAGCTCGATGTTCAGTAATCGAAAAAGCCAGCCACGAAGATGAAGACTGTTCTGATTGTTCTCGCTACTGTCTGCTTCCTGCTCGGTGAAGTGCACTCCGAAGACAAGTACACAACGAAGTACGACGACGTGGACATCAACGCTGTGTTGAACAGCGAGAGGCTTTTGAACGGTTACGTGAGCTGTTTACTTGATCGTGGTGCTTGCACCCCGGACGCACTTGAACTGAAAAGTGAGTTTTTTCTTTCTGTACGATATTTCTTTTGTATTATATTTGAGTAATTTTGAGCGGAGTAAAGCAGATTTAGGAAATTTTAAAGCAGAGTAAAATAGATTTAGAAAATGTTGAGGAAAGGAGATTTCTAAGGGTGTGTTAAATTATATTATTTATTATTTTTAGCTCTTATAATATAATATAAAATAATTATAAAAATTTATTATATAAAATATAATATAAAATAATTATAATATAATATTTTATAACATCACTTTTTAACTTTCTTTTCGTGTAAAAGAATGAAACTGTAGGAAAAATGGGAAATAATTTTATTATCAGAATTTTATCATTTATTATTTTTAGCTCTTATAATATAATATAAAATAATTATAAAAATTTATTATATAAAATATAATATAAAATAATTGTAATATAATATTTTATAACATTACTTTTTAACTTTTTTTTCGTGTAAAAAGAATGAAACTGTAGGAAAAATGGGAAATAATTTTATTGTCAGAATTTTATTATTTATTATTTTTAGCTCTTATAATATAATATAAAATAAATATAAAAATTTATTATATAAAATATAATATAAAATAATTATAATATAATATTTTACAACATTACTTTTTAGCTTTTTTTTCGTGTAAAAGAATGAAACTGTAGGAAGAATGAAAAATAATTTTATTATCAGACTCTGCAAAGGATATTTATGCAAATTTACATTTTTTCTAGAATACAAAAATTAAAATTAAATTCTCGGTGGAAAATTCTTTTATGTATCAGATGTTATAGACATTTCACTTTGTACCTCGAGTAAATATTTTTTATATTACGCGTATCCTCACTTGAGCGCTACAAATGCACAGAAATTTAAAAATTTATTTATCACACAGAGGGATATTTCTCTTTCTCTTCTTCTATATTTTTTTTTTTTTTTTACAAAATGAAACAGAAAGAGAAAAGGAACAACAACTCTCTTTACAAGTGATCAGCAATCGAACGTTACGTTACATTTAACACAATCATTCGATGACTCCAATTAGAACGTGCTTATGATAGAGGACAAAGAAACAGGAACAAAGCGAAGAAGGGTTGAGCGCGGGAGAAGGAGAAGGAGGAAGAAAAAGCACGACGCGGCGGTGTCGTTTAGAGCATCATCGCGAAGGTTGTTACAAGGCATTCTCCGCTCCCCGGAGAAACGCTGAACGAGTCAATTACGATACGTTCGTGCGCTCGTATGCATATTCCGAGTGATGTTCAGAACGCTGTCGTTTCACGGTCGACCGCAATTTTACGACCGCGTCGTTACTATTGCCGTGGGACAAGGCCGCGCATGAAATTGGCTACGCGTCTTCTCCCGTCTGAGAGAAAGAGGGATCCTCGCGCGTGTTACAATTACTCGCGCGTAGAATTTATTACTACGTGGATTCTTGCATGCGAGGACACTTGATTGGACGGAAGTTTGTTATCTCTTCTTTTTTTTTTTTTTTTTCGGAAGCTCGTATCATGACGTGAAATATTATTACAACAAGACCAGAAATTCTAGTGTGCAAGAACTTTCGTTTGTTTTACGGCGAAATTTCTTTCAAATCGACGATTTTCTTTCAAATGTCACATTGAAATGATTGAGAAATAATTCCAAGATTCAAGGTTCCAACTCTTGCGTTGGAATGACGCAATTCTCAATAATTTCTATCCGTTGATATACCGACGAGTTGAAAAGAAAAAGAAAGCGACGGTTTGGTCACTCGTTACGGTCCGCAATCAGTTACCAAGCTGGTTAAAGCTAACGAATTACGTTTAAAATTGCAGGAAACCTACCCGATGCGTTGGAGCACAACTGTTCAGCTTGCAGCGAGAAACAGAAGGAGATCGCTGACAAAATTTCGCACTACTTGATCGATCACAAGGCGGAAGAATGGAGTCTCCTGGAGGCCAAGTACGATGCAACGGGTGCCTATAGGCAGCGTTACCTTCAAGACCGAGTCAAAGAAAAATCTATTGATTAAAACAGCTGTCGCAGTTCAACGTAATATTTGCGCGACGTAACCGTAAATGTCTACACTGTGATCGGCGATGATACAACTTGAATTTTTCAAACAGTAAAAAAAGAAAAGAGACAAGAAGCGAAGAAATTAAAATTTCTTTCAATCACCACTCGTGTCCAATTCCTGGCAAAGCGTTCTTCCAAACGAAATCTATGAAAATTGCCACGACCATTACCATTATTCGTTCAGAAAAGCGAAATTTACAAGTTCGAAACCATCGCTTGAGATCCGCTTGATTTGCATGCAATTAGCGAAAACAATCTGTTGCAACGTCGTTGGGAGACGGGTAATTAATTCGTAGCTGTAATTGAACGGTGATTAATGAACCTGCTAATCTATCAACTTCAGAGATAGAGACAGGGCCTGATTCGCGTCCGAAACCGAAAAGCGGGACCGTGGCTCTAATGACTGGAGTCTACGAAGAAGAACGGACACGAACGTGTCTCGAACGAATTCTCGATTATTTTCTGAAGACGATTACTCATCGTGACCCTTCGACGCGATATCTCATTTTTTTTTTTTTTTTTTTTTTTTTTGCAGAGAACGAAGAAAATCAGCCGTCAAAAATGCTTCGCAGCCGAACATTTCACGCGAGAAATTGTAGTCGTGTGTCGCGTTATTTAACCGAATTATTTGTTCGACGTTGTTATCTCGCGTGACATTTAAATTGACTAATAATCAGGTAGAAACAGGCTCGACTCAATTGCACGCCCGTCAAGCGCATATAAAAACCATTAATTTGAATCGTTCGCCCGATTTTTCTTAGTTTTTCTTAGTTAGAAGTTGTCGGTTTGTGAATTGCTGTTACTCACCTTTTAGCCGTGGATGAAATAAAATGGAAATTTTTAGAAACGAAATTTGTGTCAATTGTTATCAGCTCTTTGAATACAGACGAAGAGTAATTAATATTGTTTAGAATTATTAATAAATAACGGAGGATTGATAAATAGGACTGTTTGATGCTGAATATGGATGAAAAAGAACGAGTTTCAAAGGAATTCAATTTCGTATGAATTTAGAACTATTCTAAGTTCAATATCTACGTCAACAGAATCATGCAATCAATTTACAAAGCTTCTTCAAATATTTACAATTTTTCGAACTTGTGAATTTTCAAAACGTCCATCTTCAATTCACTCTAGTCACATTCGCATTAAAATCCGATAAATTATTCACAAATTGTGAAAAAATAGAAACAATCCGTATCTTCTTTGATCGCGCGTGTACATGTCTCTAGATAAACAAAATGATCTCGTCTAGTGGTTTCCTTTTAGTTTAAGCCTGCAACGTGTAATCCATAGCAGCTTCCTGAATGCTACCGTCCATCCCCAAGTTCCTCGCGAGTTGCAAGCGAAAAGAAAAGGGGAAAACGAGAACGTCGTATATAATCTTGTGCTACATTTTACGGTTTAATGTTACCGAAAATATCCCGTGTCCGGACATTCAAGTAAGGCTGTAAAGCCCCGGATCCACGTGGGTGGTCGGATCCCTAGGGCTCACAATTCTTCGCTGCTTTCCTAGAAATCCGAGATTTCCAAAGGGCACAAGAGACAAAAAAAGAAATGCCTAAAGGGAATAGAAAAAAAACGAGGAGGAGACAAAGAGGAACGGAGTGACGACACGTGTACTAAAAATGAAGAGCTTAAAAAAAAAAAGAAACAAAAAAGAGAAAGTAAAAAGACAGAAAAATCTAAAAAATCAAAGAAGAAGGTCTAAAAAAAAAAGAAAATGAAAGCAAGAAAGCAAAAAATAAATAAATAAAAACGGGGCAATATATATAGTATATATATATATATATATATATATTACATACTGTATCATTGCTTTCTTGCTTTCATTTTTTTTTTTAGACCTTCTTCTGTTTCTACTTTGCTTTTTTAAATTTTTCACGTTTTCACTTTTTCTTTTTTTGTTTTATTATTATCTACATATATGTGTATATATAAAAAATTAGAGGGAACAAAAAAGAAAAAGGAAGAAACGGAAAAATTAAAAAAGCAAAGAAGAAACAGAAGAAGGTTTAAATATATATATATATATATATATATATATATATATATTTATTTATTTATATATATGTATTTATATATATGTATATATAAAAAAGTAAAAGAAACAAAAAAGAAGTAAAAAACAGAAAAATCTAAAAAAGCAAAGAAAAAAGTCTAAACAGGAGAAGGTCTAAATATATATATATATTTTACAGAAGAATATATATATATATATATATATATATATATATATATATATATATATATATATATATATATATATATATATATATATATATATATATATATATATATATATATATTACAGAAAAATCTAAAAAAGCAAAGAAGAAAGTTTAAACAGAAGGTCTAATATATATATATATATGCACGTGAGTAGAAACGAAGAATCTAAAGAAAAAGAAAAGAAAAAGAAAGGAGTATCGTGAATACATACTGAAAATTGTGTCCAGGACACGGCGGATGGTGGATCGAGTGTAGGCAAAAGTTAATGGTTCCGCGGATGGTGGCTGATCGAAAGGACAAGAATGGCGCGTTTTTAGTGAAAGCACCGGACTTTTACGAACTCTCCGAGACAGTTTATTGCCGGCTTTGGCTCTTTTTAGATGCGCGATACCTGAATTCCACATAGATAGACCCGTCACCGGTGAAACGTCTTCGAGGTAATAAAAAGGATTATGGGCTGGCCGAGTGCCGGCAAACCGTCGTGAAACTATTAAGCCGGCGTAAATCATGTTTCGTGAACGCGGAGTCTAATCCATAAGGCCTGGGGAGATAAAGTTTCGTCGAGGAACTGCTCCGAAGGAGGCACGTCGAGCGGACTGTTCTACCTCGATGATAAATCGAACGTTTCTCTCGATAGATTTCTTTAAGACTGGTGAAAACGAGCAATTTCTCAGCGGTGATTTTTATAGTATACTTGCAAGTCGGAGAGATGAAGATCTGTTGAGCCTCGTTGAGAAAGTCATTCGAATTACTGGCAATCGATCGTTGATGGCAAATCAAGCATTTTGCTCGTGATTGTTTCGTTAGGTCAACGAAACACGGAGCATCTTTCAGAGAATGAATTTTCGCAAAATGTACAAATAAAGAGCATTCTGCTCCTTTTTTGTATTGCAAATAGACTTAATGGATTTTACAAATTGTCGATTACAGTTAGCTATAGCTAACGACGAGGTTACTGTTGTGCAGGATAAAAAAATTAATAGAAAGCTGGAAAACGGAGAAGTGGATAAACGAACTTTGCAAACGGCCTGGATTATAAAGATGATAAATAAAATTGAGTTTGAATGAAAAGAGTGGAATAGCAATATTGCACGTACAAGAAGACCGCGTAGGTCATTAAAGGAACCGAGATCGTGAAAAAGAGAAGTTTGCTATTCGAGAAATAAAAGGACAAGTAGTTTCGGTCTATGGAGGACGGTGAAAAAAAATTTTTCGCATCGGAGTTCCGAGAAAAGGGTCATATATCAAAGAAGAAACTGAAATAACGATCACGTTTCCTCTACAATGTGTTAACAAAAGTTTGGAACAAAGTGGCGCTTAGGCAAAAATTTCCTCCATCCGTTTCGTGGGAATAACGATCTCTAATGATGGGAATCCGAAGCTTCGAGTTTTAATTGCTTGACCATTTTTAAAGTTCTCAGAAAACTTTTCAAACCCCTTCAATGATGAAAAATATTCCGTGCAATCTAATCGGATTAATAAATAATTTAGAAACTTTCACGATTAACAAAATACCACTGTATTCTCTATTCTTAGAAAAAAATATTTTAAATTCTCAGAATTTTCCTTGAAAATTTGTTTACTTTCGAGTCGTAGTTTTACGTTTATTTTTCCTTTTCCTGACGTCACGTGTTTTCACATTTGCAATTTTATTATTGCAATAAATACCAAAAGGCCATCGATCCTTGGCCACGTTTCTCAAAACAAATCGTACTCGACGCTGTCGACCGGTATTCGACAGATAAAAGACCGACGAACAAGCATTATTACTCGGCTAAAGTAGCTTCTGGCTGTCATTATCTCCTCCAGAGAGTCAATCTGACGCAGCATTAACGAAAAGTGGCCCCTGAGAAAGGAGCACACGTGTCGGACTGAAGACAGGTAGCCGGTTTCCAATGTTCCCGCCCAATTGGTTTTTAGTCACGTCGAGAATTAATGCGTAGACTACTAGACACACAGGGAATCGTCGGTTTTTATCTAAATAACCAGAAATAAAATCTCGAGGCAACGTACGTTTCCTCGACAGCTACTTGGGCCTTATATATCACGTACGTATGTCGCGCGACTTTGTTAATTCAATAAGTGCCGATACGATCTCGCAACGTTTCTGCCGAGTGGATGTTTTTGCGAGTTTATTTGAGCGATTTGCATCGCAGCTTGAATCGCTTGTAACAACGATGGAGGGACCGAGGACGCAATCATTTGCGATTCGTCCCGATTGTAACATTTGCTGTTACAATTCTTTTAATGGATCGCGCGATTCAACAATATTTCCCCATCCTCGGAGAAATTTAAAATATCAGCTAGAAATTTCCCGACCTAGAACAGACAATGTCAAGTAAAATTTCGCCGACTTTCCGAGTTTTATAACAGTGTTCGGAGAACGGATGAATCCACAATGTATGAATTCTCTTCGATAATTTTCAAATATAGCCGAGGACGTCTTGTTTAAATATCAGCGTACTTAATGAGAGTTGGTTGTTATTGAAATGAACCAGCCACTCGAAGCGTACCGAGTTCGCGTACAGATATCGAATAAACCTCGCCACAGGTCGTTCGTACATTAACCATTTTACGTATCCGAGCAACGATCAGCAACGTGACAAACGTCGTCGAAGCAGGCGAAGCAAGGAAATCCGACGAGGCCCGATTGAATTCACAACGAAACGGATTGGTAACACGCGAACCCCATAAAGTAGCGTGAGGCGTCGTCCTTACGACCCATTCCTCCCAGCTCCAATACCATTTTCTTTTCCTGTTTTGCACGCCGGTCGTCGATAACGAGCGGCGACATAAATATTTTCGAATTTAAATGATACGTCGCCGTCCGATTTGAAATAACATCGTCGCCTTCAAACAACATTGTCTCGCATTAGCGAAGTAAATTATTCGCTATTTTGACTCTCAAATGAAATAATTTTCTGATTCTTCTTTTCTTCATATTTCGTACTATATTTGATATAGTTTCTGACTCGCTGATTTAGTGGAATTATTTATAATTATTATTTATTAATATTTATAATTTTTATAAATTTTTTATTTTTAAATATTTACAAATAACATATAAAACATTCAAAATTTATAATATAATATATAAACATGCATGCGTTCTCTACCAAGATTCTTCATTGTTCATCCCACGTCGTCCCAAATTGCAACATTTTCTCAGCTTTCGGTATATTTAAATGTAACCCAGGCAAAACAAATGATAAGTTGATTACTTCTTAATAATTTCTATCCGGCGATATCGTACGGACGAGTTCAAGAGAAAAGGAAAGCGGCCCATAC